ATAGATTAATTTAATGATAGCTATAGATTTTACTGGTTCTAATGGAGATCCTAAATCTCCAAATTCACTACATTACAATAATCCAAATTAAATGAATTAATATTAATCTGCACTTTATTAAGTTTCAGAAATATTATTGAATTATGATTTTGATAAGAGAATACCAATGTATGGATTTGGAGGAGTTCCTCATTTTCCTAATTATTAAAAAAATGAAGCAGATCACTGGTATTTATAATCAATCTATTTTTAGTTTCCCATTAACTGGTAATTTCTAATAAGCAGAAGTTTTTGGCCTTGAAGGAATTATGGCCTAGTATAGTGGTGCTTTATAACATGTATCATTATCAGGACCAACATATTTTGCTCCAGTTATTTAATATGCTTGTTCTATAGCTTAACAAAATATTAGCTAAAATGTTTATACTGTTTTAATGATATTAACAGATGGAGAGATTCATGATATGAATTAAACAATTCAATTGATAATTAGTGCAGCTAAGATTCCACTTTCAATAATAATTATTGGAGTTGGAGATGAAAAATTTTAATAAATGAGAACACTAGATGGTGATAGTGGTCCATTGAAAGGTTCATCTGCAAGAGATCTAGTATAATTTGTGCCATTTAGAGACTTTAGATAATAGGGGGAATTAGCTAAAGAAGTTTTAGCAGAACTGCCAAATCAATTAGTTTCCTATAAACAATTATTAGGATTGTAACCATTAAAAAGTGTAGATGTCCATCTAAGTTAAATGGGATGAAGATGATAAAATATAAGACAAATAGCATATTATAATAACTAATGGTGAAGTATCTCATTTATCTAAAGTACCAAATTCTTTCATAAGATATGAGCATCAAATTCTTTTATACATTTCTTAAAATCATTAATAATAGAATAAGTTAGTTTATTATACTAAAAAAATAAGATTTCATAAAAACTCTAAGTTTTAAAATAAATAATGCAAAAAATAAAATAGTGATGTGGATGGTGTTAATATAAATTATTACATAATATATTATTTATATTAGAAAAATTCAAACTCTTACTTCTTTAAGATTGTTTTTAGAAATCAATCAAAATAAATCAATATTTTAATATTATTATCATATTTCAGAAAACTATAGTATCATAAACTCCTTTTATATTTTTAAATCAATTTATGATAAGCTCTTTATGGATCATTATTAAATAAAAAAATGATGAATTGTTTATGCAACTGATGATAGAATAATTAATTATTGGTTTATTTTAGTATTTAATATGTCAGATAAATAATTACAATACATTGAATATCAATTAAAAACTAACAGCTGCACAAGACATAATGAATGAAAATTAGAATTAAGTATTAAAAAAATCAATTTTTTATAAATTCTTAATTTTATACTCTAATTTATGATAACATATTCAAAATACATTAGTCTCTACCAAATATATATATTTTATGACCATCAGTTCGAGTCAGTCTATAACATCAAAAATCCTTTTTCATTATCATCAATTATTATAACATTCTTTCTATATTGATTTTTTATTCATAATTTCCATCAAATCCAACCTTAAATCAGGATCCTTGTTAAATTTAAATTTCTATTTTAGGTATTAGGTATTTCTTTGATTTAATAATTAACTTAGATTTTAATTGTAATGTTGATTATTTAAATGGTTATATAGAGATTTATTTATCCACTAATATCGGTTGTTTGTATTTATGATCAATGTTTATTTTTTCTTGAATAATCTGTGTTTGATTATTTAACGTTGATCTAATTGATTAATGAATATTAACTAATTTGATTATTAAAATATGTTGGAAAATCAAATGTTGTAATTTTTGAATTCAGACTTTTAACAATTTACTTAATAAGATAAGTAGGATAAGTAAGATGAGAATACAGAGACTGAAGTACCAAACAACTCTTAAAGACAAATGAGAGTTAAGAGTTTCGAAGAAAAGCCTGCCAACAAACCATTAAATCTAATATTTTAAATGTTGTTACAGAAGAAAACATAAAAAAGATAATAAATTAAGGTTGATCCAAAATCAATACCTTTATCTATTAATCTCTCTGTTTAAGTGTAAGAATTACCAATTATTCGTAAAATTATGGATAAGAATGAATGGAAAAAAGCTCATAATTTTGATGGAGATATATTATGGTGTGGTCCTGATAATGTTCAATAAGCTAAACAATTTACTTATGATTTTGCAATGGTCTTTATGAATTTATGCATCAGTAGAATTCCTGGAGCTAAACTTATTTCTACAAAAAAGGAAACTACGTCAATCATGGCTAAAATGAGATAGTATAATATGTGTCATAATTAATTAGATATTTTCCGTCTATTTATAATTTTTATCCAAAAACATATACTATGCCAGAGGATTTACATGAATTTATTGAAGATTTTGAAAAAAAAGATGGAATCTCTTATATAGCTAAACCTGATAAAGGAACTTAGGGTTAAGGAATATTTATAGTTAGTTAGATAGAAGATTTATTCAACAATAGTGTTAAAGATATCTCTTATATAAAGAAGTATTTATATTTCAATAATAAAGAAACTATATTATTTAAGAGTATATAAGTAATCCTTTATTATTGGATGATAAGAAATTTGATTTTAGATTGTATGTATTGATTACTTCATTAAAACCATTAATTGCTTATATTAATGAAGAAGGTTTAGCAAGATTGTGCACTGAAAATTATTAGGACATCACATCAAGTAATCTCTCTAATGTTTATATGCATCTAACAAATTATTCATTAAATAAAAGTAAAAGACAACAATAGTATATCCATTAGATAGTTAAAATTTTATTATTCATCCTCCAGATTTCCAAAAAATAAATCTTGGAACTAAAAGAACTTATACATCAGCCAAAAAAACATTAATGAAAATGGGCATAGATGTTCCTAAATTAAAATTAAGAATTGAATAAACCATAGTAAGATTCTTATATGGAATTGCTCCTTTCTTGGTAATAATTTCTATCTATTAATAAAGTTAAATTCGACTAGAGAAATATATTAAGACAAATGGGAAAAAGCTAATTGTTTCCATGTTATTGGTTTTGATATTTTGATTGATAGAGATTTAAAACCATGGATTATTGAAATTAATGCTAATCCTAGTTTAGAGATTACTTAAGTAATATAAAATTCAAATGGAAGTAAAAGAGTAGAGACCAGTTCATTAGATGCTTATGTTAAGACTAAAGTAATTGAAGATGCATTTATTATTGCAATTAAAACACCTTAAGAATAGATTGAATAAATTGGTAAGGGGAAGTATTGTAACAGTTATAAGATGATTATTGATGGATAGCCACCAATTGAAAATTTAGATTTGGTAATATTTTCTTATTTATTTATCACTTTAGTTCTATAAATTGGTTGATCTTTACAGTAATCTTTGTGGTTTAAGATATGGTAATTTAAATTAAATGAGATTTTGCAGATTAGCTAACAATCCATAATTAATTAATGAATTACTAATAAAATCAGATTATGATTTGATTTACAAAAAAATTTAGTTAAAATCATTATAGCCAGATTTAAATTTTGTAGGTTTCTTAGAAGCTATCGAATCTATCTCAGAAAAGGTATATTTATATCAATTTATTATAATAGCTTTTAAAAAGAAAGGCTTCTAATTATACATTATAAAAGGCAGTTACCTATGTTGTAAATATGGCTTTAAAGGCCCCTTAATAAAATCAAAGACCTTTGACTGCAAAAAGATGATTTGGAGTTTTAATTATATAATATACTAAATTTTTTGTTTAATTTTTAGTTAATAAATAATAATAAAAATGTTTTTTATGATAAGTGGACTAAAAACAAAATTATCAATAGAGCCAAACTATTTAGATTAATTAAAAGATTAAAAGTTCATTTTAGAATAAATTGTATAGAAATTAGAAGGCAAATACTTTGATGATGTTGGGTATATCATATGTATAAATAAATGCATGAATTACAATTAATATTAAGATGATTAAATTGATGCATTAATTGAAGAAGATGGAACTATTAAAGTAGTGGTATCAATGCATACTATATCAGATTAAATTTGAAGCCATAGTATTTAAAATAAAGGAAAAAGAAATAGTTGATGTTGAAGTTTCAAAATGTGAAGCCTAAGCAGTCTTTGCCAAATTGGGACCTATTGACTTTATTATTCCAAGAGATAAATTGCCTGCAAATTTCACTTATTCTAATGTAATTTTTATATCAATTTAGGAATCCTATAAAGAAGAAGATGAAGAGGTGATTAAATAAGGTACTAAATTAAGAGTCTAAGTTTAAAAAACAAATTATAAAGCAGGAAAATTAAGAGCATTTGCTCATTTGACAGGTGATAATTTAGACAATATTTGTGGTATATTAAGTGATGATCTGAAGTTATGATTTATATATAAGATTTAATTTGCAAATTATTCTTAAATTTAATATTACTTATCATATTGAAGAGTATTAAAATACAAGTATCATAGAATTATTAATAATTCCTGTATGATTACAATAACTCATTCAAATTATGATTGAAAAATGTAAGAGATTTTCTGTTGAGAAATATATTTGTAGTATCAATTTGTAGATTGCTAATAACAAGTTTTAAATTTTGTATACTCTAAATAAACCTTAACTATATTATTATTTCTTTTTTCTAGTAGTGAGTTATTTATGGATGATAATTAAAGTTCTTTTTTAATAAATAACTTCTTAAAAAGAAAGCAATCTTAAAATAAAAAGTTGATGATTTAGATATATATTACTTAATGTCTGTTGTTTTCATTTAAGTTAAAAATAAGATAGTTTTTGATATAATTATTTATATATTGTTGCATAATTATAGATTCCAATCATTAGTATTTAACTAATTGATATTATTAAAGATGATAATATGATTGTACATTGATACTATATTGTTGCCAAAATACTAATTATAAATAATCTATATAGGTTTATTTTAATTATTTTATATGGATAATAAGACACATTTTTTCTAAATAAAGGCTATTTTCTAAAAGAATTTGTTATGCTCCTTTAGAAATAAAGAATTTTTAGCAGAAACCCTAATTCCTTTTATATGTGGATTGAGTTTGGCTGCAAAAGATATCGATGGAACATAATTGATACAATTTTTTTCTCCATTTTTTTTTGCTTTGGCTATCTTTTCAAATCCAAGATCACTATTGATACATTTATGTGAAGAGAAAGAACTAAAATTTAAAGAAACACAAAAAGTAATAATCTTTATTAAAAGTAGATTATGGGTTTGAAACAAAATTCATATTTAATTGGATGGATGCTATATGCTTATTGTAAAACATTAATGGTATAATACTAATATATATTGAATAGTCTATGATTATATTTTTTTTTTCTTGGGTTTTGTTTGGATATATAATGAATGAGAGACATAATCGAAACATATATGGATTTGATGATGACACAGAATGGTATATAATATTTGGACTTTATTTCATTTATGCAACAGCTTTGATACATTATTCAATGTTTTTAACAACATTTTTTTCAAAATCAAAGACTGCTAATGAAATTACAACATTTTTATTAGTTGTATCATTAATATTACCTTTTTTTGGATTTGTTGATAAATTTTAAAGGTATTTTAATATCATTTATAATATATTAGTACTTTCTTTTTTATTTTAATATCCATATTTCCATAAACATGTATTGCACTTTCATATTTATCAACACAATATGGAGCATATAGATATTTGAATATCTNGTATGATTACAATAACTCATTCAAATTATGATTGAAAAATGTAAGAGATTTTCTGTTGAGAAATATATTTGTAGTATCAATTTGTAGATTGCTAATAACAAGTTTTAAATTTTGTATACTCTAAATAAACCTTAACTATATTATTATTTCTTTTTTCTAGTAGTGAGTTATTTATGGATGATAATTAAAGTTCTTTTTTAATAAATAACTTCTTAAAAAGAAAGCAATCTTAAAATAAAAAGTTGATGATTTAGATATATATTACTTAATGTCTGTTGTTTTCATTTAAGTTAAAAATAAGATAGTTTTTGATATAATTATTTATATATTGTTGCATAATTATAGATTCCAATCATTAGTATTTAACTAATTGATATTATTAAAGATGATAATATGATTGTACATTGATACTATATTGTTGCCAAAATACTAATTATAAATAATCTATATAGGTTTATTTTAATTATTTTATATGGATAATAAGACACATTTTTTCTAAATAAAGGCTATTTTCTAAAAGAATTTGTTATGCTCCTTTAGAAATAAAGAATTTTTAGCAGAAACCCTAATTCCTTTTATATGTGGATTGAGTTTGGCTGCAAAAGATATCGATGGAACATAATTGATACAATTTTTTTCTCCATTTTTTTTTGCTTTGGCTATCTTTTCAAATCCAAGATCACTATTGATACATTTATGTGAAGAGAAAGAACTAAAATTTAAAGAAACACAAAAAGTAATAATCTTTATTAAAAGTAGATTATGGGTTTGAAACAAAATTCATATTTAATTGGATGGATGCTATATGCTTATTGTAAAACATTAATGGTATAATACTAATATATATTGAATAGTCTATGATTATATTTTTTTTTTCTTGGGTTTTGTTTGGATATATAATGAATGAGAGACATAATCGAAACATATATGGATTTGATGATGACACAGAATGGTATATAATATTTGGACTTTATTTCATTTATGCAACAGCTTTGATACATTATTCAATGTTTTTAACAACATTTTTTTCAAAATCAAAGACTGCTAATGAAATTACAACATTTTTATTAGTTGTATCATTAATATTACCTTTTTTTGGATTTGTTGATAAATTTTAAAGGTATTTTAATATCATTTATAATATATTAGTACTTTCTTTTTTATTTTAATATCCATATTTCCATAAACATGTATTGCACTTTCATATTTATCAACACAATATGGAGCATATAGATATTTGAATATCTCACTTTAGGAATATTTTTTTCATGGAGCAATGGCAATAGAATTAGCAATATTGTCAATTGTATTTTTGTTATTGTATTTTTATTTTGATGCTATAATTCCTAATGAATATGGAATAGCAAAACATCCTTTATTCTTTTTAAATTTTACTAAAAACAAAAGGTAAAAACGAAAAGTAGATTTAGAGAATCCATTAATAGAATAAGATAATGTAGCTTAATCAACATTTAATGATGATAGTTCAAGTGCATTTTATCATGAACCTAGAAATTATTTAAATATTAAACCTTCAGTTAAGATAAGATCAATAGTAAAAAAATTTGGAAATTTTACAGCTGTAGATTAAGTTAGTTTGAATTTATATTAAAAAGAAATTTTATGTTTATTGGGACATAATGGTGCTGGGAAAACAACAACAATAAATGTATTAACAGGATTATTGAGTTTAACAGGAGGGAAGGTTTATGTGTATGATTAAGAATTAGAAAGTAATTTGGAAGAAATAAGAGAAAGGATTGGAATATGTAATTAAAGGGATGTTTTATATGATGAATTAACAGTTAAAGAATAATTATAATTTATGGGTAGAGTGAAAGGTTTAGAAGGTAATGATTTAGAATAAGAAATATCATAAATATTGTCTACAACATTACTAACAAATGAATAAGAGAAAATAACAAAGACTTTAAGTGGAGGAAATAAAAGAAAATTATCTTTAGCATAAGCAATAATAGGAGGATCAAATGTATTATTTTTAGATGAACCAACTTCTGGAATGGATGCTTAAACAAGAAGAGGAATTTGGGAAATATTGGAGAAAGTTAAATAAGAGAATAGAACTCTTGTTCTTACAACTCATCATTTAGATGAAGCTGAAGAATTGGCTGATAGAATTGCTATTATGGCTGCTGGTAAATTACTTGCTTGTGGTAGAAGTGAATATATAAAGTAGAATTTTGGGGAAGGATATTCAATTTCAATTACTATATTAGATAAATCTATAGATAAAGAATAAATAATTAATTTTACTTAACAAAATTTACCATAAGCAGCTTTAGATCCTTAATCATCATAACTTACTATATTATTTAAAATTAAATTTAATTAGAAAAAATATTTACTTAATTATTTTGAGGCATTGGAAAAATAATTTGAAAATAGACTTTCTGTTAATTTTAGGATAAATTCACTTGAAGATGCATTTATAAATATTGGAATGGATGAAGAGAAGTTTTTAGAAAGAGCTAAAAAGATGATTGAAGGAAGAACTAGTGTTAATGAAGATAGAGATAGTATTATTGGAACTGATTAATTTGCTGAACTTAAATCTAAAGTTCCTGTTCCTGATTGTTTAAATAGAGGTAATTAATTATATATATATAATATATAGAACCTGTCTATTCATTTAAAGAGTAAACATTAGCTATATTTTTGAGAAAATATTATACAACTATTAGAACATTCAGTAATTATTTAGCTATTATTATTCCATTTGCATTAATTGTAACTGGAATTGTTGTTATAGGAGAAATGGATTTAGGAGAAGAAAATGAAGGAACAAAAGTATTTAGAATGATATTCTTCTCAATTTTTGCTATTATTGCACTTTGTTTTAATTCATCTTTATTTATTATGTAACCTGTTTTAGAAAGAGAAACAAATCTAAAATATGCTTTAGTAGCTATGGGTTGTAGACCATTGCCTTATTGGTTTGGAACTTTTTTATTTGATTTCACAATTTATTTTGGAATGATCTTTATAATAATTTTAATTTCATTATCTTATGAATTTTTAAGTGAAAAAATTGGTAAGATTATTTTTATATTCATATCATTTGGATTATCATTTATTATGTTTTCTTTCCTTATTGGAACATTATTATATGAAAAAGCATCAAAAGCTATGAAAACATTCCCATTTTTAAATTACTTTGTTTTCTTTGCTCTTCCATTAAATTTTTGGCTTATTGTAGCCTTGATATTTATGGATGGAAATGATTCTGATAAATTATCAAGTGGATAATCAGTTGTAATTAAAATTGTAGATTTGATTTGTTCACTCATAAGTCCATTTTATTCATTTTTCTAAGCAATTACAAAAACTATAGATCTTGAAGGTGGAAGTGTACCTTATATATCAAAAGAATATTGGTTTTATTGTTTAATCATGCTCCTTTAAGCAGTAGGATTCTTTTATTTTAATATCTTAATTGAAAAAAAGAAATACTTTAAAGGGATTTCTTAAACTAATCAAAGATGTAATAATTATATTCCAGCTTAAATAAATGATCCAGAGGTTCTTAAAGAAATTGAACAATTTTCTAAAGGAAATAAGATTTGTCCTATTAAAGTTGTACATTTACAAAAATAATACAATCCAACCTAGTTTTTAGCTGTAAAAGATATAACATTTGGAGTTGGATAGAATGAAATTTTAGGTTTGTTAGGTCCAAATGGTGCAGGTAAATCTACTACTTTTAATATATTAACTTCATTGATTTCTAAATCTTCTGGAAGTGTTAAAATTAAGGATGTAGAAATAGATAGAACTAAATCTGATGTTTTTAGAGACACTGGAATTTGTCCTTAATTTGATTGTCTTTGGGAGAACCTAACACCTAGAGAACATCTTTATTTATTTGGAAGAATGAAAGGTTTAAATGGAAATGATCTTGATTAAAGTGTAGCCTACTTTTTAAGTACAATGTAATTAGAGGAATATATCTATCGAAAATCTGGATTACTCTCAGGAGGAAATAAGAGAAAACTTTGTGTCAGTAATGCACTTATTGGAGGACCAAGCATTTAATTCTTTGATGAACCAAGCACAGGAGTTGATCCTATTGCAAGAAGATTTTTATGGAAAACTCTCAGATAAGGTGTCAAATTAAGATAGAGTTCAGTGGTTTTGACAACTCATACAATGGATGAGGCAGAGAGTCTATGTGATAGAATAGCTATTATGATTAATGGAGAAATATTTTGTTTAGGTAATCCAAAAGAATTGAGAGATAGATATGGAGAAGGATATAATGTTTCAATTAGAAATCCTAGTAGTAGAGAATAAATATTAAAGATTATATAAGAATAATATTCAGAAGCTAAGGAAAGTTAAGAGACTCATGAGGAATATTAATCTATACATGTATAGAATATTTATTATTAATTAGATACCTACCCATTAATTTTAATTTATTAAGGTTTTTTAATTGTTATCAGAATTAGAATAAAAAAATTATATCAAAGATTTTACTATAAATTAATCAACTTTGGAATCAGTATTTTTATAGTTTTCTTAACTTTAATAGTAATTATAGGTTTAATGATTTTGAATATTATCCCATATTATAAATTAATCGTATATAGTAATTAATAAATTAATATATTTAATAATTATTAATGATGAGCATAAGAGTAGTGAAACTACATAAAAAATGAGTACATTCATCTAGGCTATCTGATTATATTTTTATGTTGCAAATATATCAATATTTCCTTCTTATTTATATTCGAAGAGTGTCTGGATTGTTTATTCAATTAAAATATGATGTAATACAAATGATATATTTCGTATTAATTAATTTTTTATTTATAAAAAGTATGAATTAAGAAGAAAAGTAAAATGAAAACAAAGAACCAGAAGTAAAGGATAACGTAGAAGAGTTTGGTATGAAGGTGTTATCTGCAGGTTAGATATTATATAAATGCTTTAGAGGAATAGAAAAAGATCATGTTATAAATTAGTGAAGAAGAATCATTCAATTTAAATAATTTATAATAAAGAGAAGATGATGCTGTTTTTATAGAAGATGAACCAGAAAAAGCTTTGGCCAAGCTTTTGAGTATTCATTAGTAAAATTTTCAGGAAAGGTAATATAAATTATTCTTCGAATATGTTTATAGATAAGCTTATGCTAGACATTTAGCTGAATTAATAATAATGATAGGGAATGAAGCCTAATAATAATTGACTTAGATTATAAATTAATTAATTAGTGATAGTGACGAAATAAAGAAGATTCTAATCCATTAACTAAATTTATTAATAGATCATATAGATGTATCTATAATTAAACAACATATATTACCAGCATCAATGTAATTAATAAAATATCATAATTTTGACATCTAATCTGATGTTTAAAAATAAATATCTAGAATAGCTTAGAAACTTTCAAATGAAGATATAAATGAATTAATATTAAATGATTTAATTTTAATGGCACATGATGAATCAAATGAAGAGAATAAAATGGTAGCTTTGTAATTTTTTGGTTCTTATGCTCATATTGCAAATTAATAATTCTTAGAGTCATTCATTTCAATAGAATTTATTAATGCAGGTGAGGATATAAGTGTTAGAGTAAGAAAGGAATCTCTATAATAATTACCATAAATTGCAAAGTCAGTAAGACCTGAATTTTTTGTGTCCAAATTACTTCCTTATTATCTTTAGTACATCTAAAATTAAATTATCTTAATAGAAAATCTGAAGATAAATCATCTTGGCATATACGTAAAGCATGTGTAGAGATAATTGTGAAATTAGCTGAGATAGCTCCAAAATAAGTTAAATAGAATGAATTATCTAATAAAATGGTTGAATTTTTAAAGTATTATTTAGATATTTAAATAGGGATTCAAATAAATGGGTGAAAGCATCTGCATTTTAACTTCTTGGATAATTTATTCATACATTACATGATTGTAATTAAAAAAATGAATAGTTATTAAATGAATATTGTAGATCATTAAATAAAGATGTTTGTGAATATTTTTCATCTGATTAAGAAATATATGATGCTTGTGCAGCAACTTTTCATTATGTTGTAGAAATATATGGATAAGAGAAATGGCCAAATCTATTAAAATTATTATAAAGTTTAGTAAAAAATAAGGGAGTAAGAAAAGTGTTGGCAGAAAATTTATATATAATTGCTAAATCATGTGGTCCAAGATATGCAGAAAAAGATTTAGTGATCATTTTAGATTCATTTTTAAAAGATTTAAATGATGAAGTTAAATATGCAGCAGCAAAAAATTTATGGGAATTTATTAAAATATTTGATGAAGAAAAAAGAGATAATTTATTAGATGTTGTTTTAATTATATAAGTAATATTATATTATAAATATTTACAAGAGAGATTAAAAGAAATGGAGAATACGTCATCTTATAGCTAAATAAATTAAACATTTGGTACCTTTATATAGTGTAGATAACATATTTCAAATAATAGTTCCAATTACATTGAAATTATGTAATGATATTGTAGCAGTTGTAAGAAAATAAGCAGCAAAAGAAATGCATTCTATTTTGTTATCTTTGAATACAGAAGATGAAACAAGTCAAATTTATTATTAATGTTTAATCGAAAATATAAAAGCTTATGGAATCAGTCATCGTTTTAATCAGAGATAAGCGTATAAATTTTATTCTTTATTTTTAGATTTGCTTATATGTGTTCAAAATTAATAACCCTCAAAGAATTTGAATCTACTTTCTTGGAATAATTTGTATCTCTCAGTTTGGATCCTGTTAAAAATGTTAGAATCACAGTAGCTCTTATTGTTTAAAAACGATTTAAATAAGGTTTTTTTATATATTTTATTTTAGGACATCTCAAAGATAATCAGAAAATATAGTAAATGATACAAAATCTGAAAACTCATAAGGATAGAGAAGTGCTAAAAATTTTGGACTGAGTTAATTTACATTTAAATTATAAAATGGTTTAACAAAAAAACTAAGTGATTTTTTAAGCTATATATTGTGACAGAAGTTTCTTATATAATTTTTATATTAATCTCTTGCACTTTTTAAACAATCTTGTTTACAAAAAGTAAATGTAGAATTTATTAATTTTTTATAAAAATTATAGACATATTTGAGTTTAAAAGACATAATATTAGTATGTCGTAATTCAAATCTAAAATATTAGTATTTACTTAAACAATCTCAATCTTAGTATAATAATATTTGATTCCAATAAAATTAACATTTTAGAATTATCATCAATAAAATTATCAAATTTAATTAAAACCAGCAGTGAAATTATGTTTACAAAATTAAAAGTTCCCTATTTCAAGATTACAATAAATAAATTTAGATATGATAAAAAGTAATCTCTATATTGATCTATCAATAAAAGCCTGGGAAAAAATATTAAAGTAAGAACTTACTATTAAAAGGCAATAATAAATGATTCAAAATATTTGATTGTTTTGTATTTATTATTAAGGTTATTTTCCAATAGCAGTATGTTAATCTGCTTTATTTACGTTGTTATATTTAACATACAAATTAATCAAAACCTTTTGAGAATATTTCTGGAATACTTAAAATATTTAATAAAAGCAATAAACTTGTATTCTTAAATTTAAGTATACACTGAAACAAAATACCATACTCAGATTATGATTTTGACTTTTAAGAAAGCTTATATCAAAGCTAATGGAATATTCTATAATTTTGAGTAATAATAATTATAAAAGGATTCTTGTTTCTTGAATTAGATAAGAAAATCAAACAGAAGTATATGTAATGCTTATTTTTACTAAAAAGATTTTATCTTCTCTTTTAGAATAAAATATATCATTAGATTTAAAACTTTTATCCACCCAAATTTTACCTTTTTATTAAATAATTTTGGTCAGATAATTGAAATACTTCTAAAACATTATAATAACTTCACTATGTTTGTTTTCTAAGACAAAAATTCGATAAATTTTATATATTTTAATAAATTATTTTTTAAATCTTGATAGTGATGAACAAGATAAAGGAATTTTGTAGTGGGTACATTAAAACTATATTATTTGCCATAGAGTATAAACATCGTTTTTAAGTATAATATTCATTATTTCAAAGTTCCCTCAAGAATTTTTTATCATTCCTCATTTCCTGCATCATGTTTAAATATTAAGTTTATTTTTGGAAAGATCTTCAGATTAATTATTTGATTATGTTGTTGTTTTGGCACATTATTCTTTAATTGAACCTATGTTGACAGATGAATTGAGGAAACTTTTTTTATTTCTAATTTTTGCCTTTTAAATAATTTTACTATTTTATCTACTTATTGCAACATTTGAAACTCAAAGAATAGCCTTAAACTTTAAATTAAGATAAATTTTAGAGAAAAAAATAGAATCTGTAAGTTCTATTTTGCACTGGTACTTTACTTTTTATAACATATTCACAATTCCAATAATTGTAATTAGTATCAAATTTATGTTAACCAATTATTATATTTTTGGATATTTTAATGCAATTTTGCAATATTTTTAAGGAATAATCCTCATATATTTATTAAGAAATCACAGATTTGCAGAAAATAATTCTTTTAAAAGAAAATTCGCATATGTTTAATTATTTAATTATACTGTTGTTTACTTATTAATCTTTTTTAGATTTTATGAAGAAATTTTATTTATTAAGTATGCATTTGGATTTTTGTATGCATTTTTGCAAATAGTAGACTAATTTTATAGTTTTCCTTATAGAGATCCTTTTCGAGAACCATCTTTAAAAGTAGCTATGGTACTTTTAAGTAGTATATTCATATGCCTGCTGTTTGAATTTGGAGCAATCGTATATGGATAAATATTTTGGATTATGTTTGTTGCTTCATTGATGAGTGGAGTATCAGCTTCAATAAGTTCACTTTTTCATGAATTTGCAATGACAAATTATAATTCTCGTTTCAATTTAGAAGAGAAATATATAATTATTGGAGTTGATTAATTTTATAGTCATTTTACTCATTTTTAGACAAGTGAATTTAATAAATTAACTTACTTTTAATAATTGATAAAACATAATGAGAATTGTGTTAGAATTAAATGTCCTTCTTAAAAATCAAAATTATAAAAAATTAATTTTAATGATAATGCATAATTATAGAAATTAACAATTGATGTTGTGTGTTGTATATTTAAAACTTGTCATAGTAGAACTGTTATTAAAAATGGAGAAATTCATAAGCCTAAATTTGAATAGTTGCAATTATAATATATTAGTTTTTTATCATCAACAGCTTAAAGACCATTAATTGGTTATGTTGAATTACGAAAATATTAATAAGACTAAAATAATGATAATTCATTATATTTTCGAGAATTGACTTCCAAAATTTCTGCAGAGTTGGAGTTTTCCATTTTATATCTTTAAGAGAGAATGATCTAGTAGTAATTTAAAAAGGAAAGATATATGGCAAGAGAAGAAAAATTAACAATTGCATAACTTTGGAGAAGTGTTAATTGTTATTAAGAAATCACTCCTTAAATAATTGATGTTATTGATAAGAAATAAAAATTTTGGGATAATCTTTTAGAAGGTTATGAAGATTTAGAAGCATTTCATAAAGAATAACTCTCATTATGTAAATCTATAGATGAATTATATAAGAAAATTAAAAGTAAATGTTATTATAATTCTATTATAGCATCAATTATAATCCCAGAAGTGTTTTTTGATAGATCAAAGGATATAAGTTTATAAACAGTTCTTAAAATATTAGATCCAGAAGATAGAAATATAAATATATTAAATTTGAAGTTATACTCTATTTTGTATGCTGTTATTTTAAATGATTTTGACAGAGTATCTTATTATTTTATAATAGGCATTTTAAGCAGAAAAATAAATTGAGGAACTCATAAAAGAAGATAGATAGAAATCAATTGAAATGATAGATGATTGTGCTTTATTGAAGGATGAAGCAGCTATTATCTTAGTTAGTCTTGTAAGAAAGAAGGGTCATATAGTGAATAAGAATTTATTAACTTTGGCAAATTTCTTTGAGTTTTAGAATGTTTAAGATATAGCAGGAGTAATAATAACGATTTCAATATTTTAGTAAACTTCAATCTCATCCTTCTTACCACCTGATTTAAGAATATTGCATGATGCCTAACTTAATGAATTTATTTCAAAGGGTTATACAAAATATTCAATATAAAGCATTCATTCATATTATTTATAAAAATAGGGGTATTTAAGAGAATGTTATATAAAACTGGGAAATTTATTTTAAGATTCTTCAGATTTCATTTTGACTGGTTCAATTCTTAGGTTGTCAACATCATATGATGTAGTTATGTTTGATGGCTATGGCAAAATTATTGGTTCTAGCTAAGCTTTTTTCTAAAAAAGAATTCTACCCAATAATCCAAATATAACAATAGAAAGATTTTTGGAATAAGGATATATCTTTATGTTAATGCCATTCATTTTAATCAATTTAAGGAAATTAGCTAATGAGATATAGACAGAATTTATAGATTACAGTTATTTCCCAGCATAGTTATTGGATATTTGTTTGTAATTTGGATAAATATTCGATGATAAATAAAATTAAGATTAAAGATTATCATCATATAATTTAACCACAATTAAGTCCTAGTTAGCTTCACATAATTCAGCAATATCTGCTAGAACTTATAACGATTCAGAAGAATAGGTTAAAATTAAAGGTTTAAACATCCCTATGTTATAAGTAGAAAGAATGAATTTGGTACTAGATTTTTTATTGAAGTATCATGATGAATAAACTATCCTATGTGATGTTCTTAAAATTAAATATAACTTAGAATTTTAAATAATGGAAACCAAAAAAATTAAATATCCATATTTTATATTAAAATTAGAACCAATAAATGAATTTGAAAGATCTGATTCATGTTCAATAATTCCTTATAAAAAATCTATTCGAAAAACTTTGATGGCTCTTAAATATGGGGAATCACAAAAGGGAATGGAATCAACTAATACAAAAAATTTCTAAACTATAAATCTATAATAAAACTCTGATTAATTAAATGAAACAGCTGACATTAAAGGACCTTCAGATCAACATATTTTAGAATAGATTATGGAAATCAATAATTTAACTGTTTCTATACCTAAAAAATAACTAGATTTATCAAAAGTCATTTTTGAAAACCCTTAAATTTCAAGGATTGAAGATTAAGACTTTTAATAATTAGTATAAGATTTTGAAGAAAGTAAAGTGATTGATGAAAAACAAGAATAGGAACAATATGAAGATCCAAAATATGAATCTGATTAAATTGAAAAAAAAAAAAAAAAGTCTGATAGTTCAAAAGGATAAAAAATTAAAAAAAAAGGTGATATTCTAGATATTTTAAGAAAGAATAAGAATAATTAAGTCTTAGAAAATGAAAATTAATAGTCCTCTAAACCTAGTTCAACAAAGACTTCCTCTACAAAGTCACCATATTTATTAATTAGATCTCTCTATTAATTTGGATATATTGATTCTCAAATTTGGCTGATAATTATGTTAAATATAGTTATATGTGTAACTGCTTTGATTTTGGTTTTTATAAAGATATTCATTGTTTAAAGTAATTATGTAATTTATTTTTTAAGATTAATTTGGAATTCTTTAAGCTAATTTAAATTATGTTTAATATCCTGAAAAAATAAATAATTACTTCCTAAAAACTTTAATGTACTCATCCAACATTCTTCATTAACAATTCTAATTGGTAAATTATAGTTAATTTATGAATAATGCCCTTAAAGATGAGTTTAATTATTTGGCTTTGAATATTGAACATGATTTAAAAAGTATTTATGAGGATATCATAACTTTTGAAAATTAAGTAATCTAATTAAATGATGATCTAAAAATCATCAATAATTTAGAATAGTTCAACATTACATTTGATTTAACTATACTTTTATAAAAGAATTTATCATTTTATTTTTAAATTTAAATTAAACTATAGAATAAATTTCTTCAAATTCTATTAATCTAAACTAATAAATTTAAAATTCAAATTAATTAGATGAAAAATACTTGTCACTAAATTTATTTTTTAAATTAAATATGGTTTAAGTAATTAAAGTTTCGAAAAGTTATATCAATTATCTTAATGAAAATTTACTTTTTTATGAATAATAAATTGTTAATATTCTCATTTATGTTGTGGTCGCAGAACTTAGTATCATTACAGCTTTAATGTTTATGATTATTAAGGCTTTATAAGATGTAAATTAATTAATCAGAAAAATCCTAATTCTAATAACAAAACTAAGTGAGGATGATGTTAATCAAATTAATAAAATTTATACAGAAATTAAAACTATTTTAAAAGACCCTAAATAAGTGTAATGGAAAAAAACTAATTTTGTTAAATGCATATTTGAAACCAATTTTATAAAAAATAAATAAGATTTAAACTTTCTTTAATCCTCTAATGCATCTAGTAATTCCTAGAACAATAAGTAGAAATTTAAAAAGAGATATCAAAACAGTTCCTTAACTTCAAGAGTATATAATTTAAGATTACCATAAATTTGGAATTATGCATTCATATTTTTATCTTGGTTATTTTTAGCAGGTTATTTATTAGGTGCATTAGGATTATCCCTCTCAATGGTACATTCTATTAAACCTGCAATTGCCTTAAATTTATAATTAATAGAATTTAAATTAAAATTTGATTCATTAATAGTTTATGGAGAAATTTTGAAAACAGACTATTTAGTGAATTTAAAATTAAATCAATTTTATGAATTATCTTCAATTAAATTCAATTAAGATGGAGTATTAACTGAATTCTTTTCCTTATAAGAGGGATTTTAAGATTAATTATATGATATTTATGATTAATTATCATCAAGTACATCACTTTTAGAAGAACAAAAAAATACTTTATTAATTCCATTTCAAAGTTCCCTTTGTGAAAGTGATCCAACTCTTGTTCCAGCATGTACAATTCCATTAGAATCAACTTCTTCAGATTATAGTTTAGATTATCTTTCTGGAGGAATAGTTGATATGGTACATGAATTTTCAAAAACATTGAAAACTTTCTGGTAGATAACTGATTTTGCTATTACTGATGAAGATTAATTAGAAAAATTTCTATCTGGATAAGTTTATACAACTGAATTTGTCCATCATTTTCTTTTTTAAGGAAAGATTATGGAACAANGAATAAATTTCTTCAAATTCTATTAATCTAAACTAATAAATTTAAAATTCAAATTAATTAGATGAAAAATACTTGTCACTAAATTTATTTTTTAAATTAAATATGGTTTAAGTAATTAAAGTTTCGAAAAGTTATATCAATTATCTTAATGAAAATTTACTTTTTTATGAATAATAAATTGTTAATATTCTCATTTATGTTGTGGTCGCAGAACTTAGTATCATTACAGCTTTAATGTTTATGATTATTAAGGCTTTATAAGATGTAAATTAATTAATCAGAAAAATCCTAATTCTAATAACAAAACTAAGTGAGGATGATGTTAATCAAATTAATAAAATTTATACAGAAATTAAAACTATTTTAAAAGACCCTAAATAAGTGTAATGGAAAAAAACTAATTTTGTTAAATGCATATTTGAAACCAATTTTATAAAAAATAAATAAGATTTAAACTTTCTTTAATCCTCTAATGCATCTAGTAATTCCTAGAACAATAAGTAGAAATTTAAAAAGAGATATCAAAACAGTTCCTTAACTTCAAGAGTATATAATTTAAGATTACCATAAATTTGGAATTATGCATTCATATTTTTATCTTGGTTATTTTTAGCAGGTTATTTATTAGGTGCATTAGGATTATCCCTCTCAATGGTACATTCTATTAAACCTGCAATTGCCTTAAATTTATAATTAATAGAATTTAAATTAAAATTTGATTCATTAATAGTTTATGGAGAAATTTTGAAAACAGACTATTTAGTGAATTTAAAATTAAATCAATTTTATGAATTATCTTCAATTAAATTCAATTAAGATGGAGTATTAACTGAATTCTTTTCCTTATAAGAGGGATTTTAAGATTAATTATATGATATTTATGATTAATTATCATCAAGTACATCACTTTTAGAAGAACAAAAAAATACTTTATTAATTCCATTTCAAAGTTCCCTTTGTGAAAGTGATCCAACTCTTGTTCCAGCATGTACAATTCCATTAGAATCAACTTCTTCAGATTATAGTTTAGATTATCTTTCTGGAGGAATAGTTGATATGGTACATGAATTTTCAAAAACATTGAAAACTTTCTGGTAGATAACTGATTTTGCTATTACTGATGAAGATTAATTAGAAAAATTTCTATCTGGATAAGTTTATACAACTGAATTTGTCCATCATTTTCTTTTTTAAGGAAAGATTATGGAACAAATTGCATATACGATGCTAAATTTAAATAAAACTACTATAGACTCTGTTATCTTTAAATTCTAAATATATATGTATATTATGGGATTGACTTTAATTATCATGTATATTTTTTGCTTTTATAAATGGATTTTAAGATTAGATAATGAAATGTATTTAACAAAATTAGCATTAACTTTAATTCCTGCAGATTTCTTGAATGAGCAAAAGACAATGAGTGATTTAAAAAATATTTTAAATGAATGATGGTTATTGTTGTCTATATTCCACAATAATAAAAATGCTTTATAAGTTTTCAAAATATTATATTAATAATTAATATATAGAAATGGCATTCAAAATAGTTTTCAATAGAAAAATTCATAAACTGCCTCTTCATGTTACAACTGTTTAGGCAATAAGATCATCAATAGAAAAACTCTATCCTCAAATCGATTTAAACTATCATCTAGTTTTTTACTATAATTAAGAACCTCTTGAAGTAAGAAATTAAATTAATTATAAAAGATTGTGCATGAAGATGCATTATTGATACTTTTAAAGATTTTACAATTATCCTCATATAAATTATTTGTATTTGAAAATAATATTGGTTAACTAACAGAAGAAGGTACTTTTTACATTTAAATTATTAGATTTTAAATTTATGGAGCAGTCAAGCATTTACTCTGCTAGTATAATTTAAGTAGATTAAAATATAAGATAATAGAAAGTGAAACCTGATAATTAATAATACTAATAATCTAATGTTTAAATATTTAATCAATAGAAACCTTATGATATTGAGTAGTAATACAATTAACCATATTTAACTTAAATATAGCAATAACAATAATAACAATAATAACAATAATAATAATAATAATAATAATAATAATAATAATAACAATAATAATTGTAATAATATTAATAATAATATTAACTTCCATAACCATAAAATAATTAACAAAATTTGTTATAAGGATTTTATCCTTCCTAAAAATAACAGATTTAACAGATTTAACAGATATAACCTTTAGGTTAATAGTTTTAATATCCTCATATTGAATAAGAAATAAATCAGGAAGATTATTAGATTGAGGTGATTCAAAACTCTTAAGTTTAAAGCTATCCTGATAAAGAATTTATATGGAAATTAGTTTTAAAGAATTCAGGCTAAAAAACTTGGCCTTAAACAATGAAAATACGATGTATAGACAATCCTTTCAAAACTCATTAATCTCTCTTACCTGAAGCTATTCCAGGATAGGTTGTTGATGTCTCAATTAAATTGAAGGCCCCTTAAAAAATAGATTCACTTTTTGTAAATTGGGGTATTTATTACTTAGAAAACACTTTGGAATTTGCACTAAAATAAACAATTTGTCTTTTCTTAGAAGTAATCAAAGAATGTATTAGTTATAAATTATAATTAGAACCTGAATAAAGATTTATAGGTACATAAGTTTTGGTAAAAGCCGAATAAATAAAGGCAATAATGACAGATTAGAGTATAAACTACATATGTAAGTTTATCGAAAAACACAAATTACTTACATTAAGAGTAGAGGATATTATCAATAAGATCTATGATTAATAATCTTAATAATGATATTTTTTAATGAATTATAAATTAACAGAGCCTCTTTAAGGTTAAGGTCAACAACCTGAAATAGTTGGTGAATTTATAACTCCAAAAGGGAAAAGAAGAGTTTTACATGGATTTTCTAATTAAATAATTGTTGCTAACAAGAACAAATTCATTTCTTTATCATTCGAAACAAAATTTTAGTTATTAAGAGAATCATGTGAAGAGAAGTTTAAAGTTGGAAAACCTATAGGATTATTGATTGAAAGAGAGAATGTTTAGCATAAAATAAAATTGTTTTCAGATGATAATTAACTTCTAAAAAGATGGAGAGATTATTTAGCAAAACATATAAATCAAAGAGGATTTCATGAAAGTTTTAAAGCACATCGAAAAATTGGAAAAGGAAATTTTGCGTCAGTATATTTGGCTGATCGTTTAGAGGATGAAAGAAGTTTTGCAATAAAAGCATTTTCAAAAGAGGTAGCTTATGGTTAAGATAAAGGAAAAGTAAGTATGCCTTTATATAATAGATGTCAATATTGAATGAAATTTAAGTGATGAGATAGCTTGATAGTCATGCATTAATAAAATTACACGAAGTTTATGAAACTGATAATTCATTATATATGGTACTTGATTTACTGGAAGGAGGATCTTTGTATGATAAAGTAAAGAATAGGCCTTAATTTAATTCATTTGAAATTGAAGTGCTTATATTTACTTTATTAGAAGGTTTATAACATATGCATTCAAAACATATAATGCATAGAGATTTAAAACCAGAAAATATTTTATTTAGAAAACCAAAGTAATATATTATTCAATTGAATTATTAGTAATATATAGTCTGTTTGTATTGCAGATTTTGGTTTGGCATAAAATGCTCATGAATTCCCATATTTATTTAATAGATGTGGAACACCAGGATTTGTTGCCCCTGAAGTGGTAAATTGTAAGGATGGAGGAAGATATGATCCAATTTGTGATATTTACAGTTTAGGCTTAATATTCTACATTATGTATAATTATTTCTGTTATAATTCTAAGGTTAACTGGTAAACCTGCATTTCCTGGAAAAAGCTATAATGATGTATTGAGTAAGAATAGGAAATGTGAAATAATATTTGATGGAGCTTTATTTGAGAATGTCCCATAATAAGCATATGATTTATTAAGAAAGATGTTAGAAAAAGAACCACATAAACGAATTACTGCTTAATAGGCTCTTGGACATTCTTATTTTGGTAGAAGGTTGAAATAAGTGGATGAGAATGAAGAGACATCCTTAAAGGTATAAGAGGAGCATTTAAAATTTGATAAATAGAGATTACAATAATTAAGCAATTCACCACTTCATTCACCTTTAATAGCTGCTTCATCTAGATTAAGGAAGGATTGTTCAAATGATAGTTTATATTAAAACAGTCCTTTATTAAATGGTCATACTGATTAAATAGGTATAATAATAGTATATAATAAGATTCTCCTTCAAATAATGGATTTAATAGTCCTTCTGCTTAGGGTAGATAATTAAATAGAGTTGATCAACAATAATAATCAAAGCCATCAAGATTTAAAGATTTTGATGGAAATAATCCTAATGGTTAAGGGAGTAATTCAAATTCTAATTCCAAACCTTTTAGTCTAAATTAAAATCCTTTACATAAATATGCAATCAGAAATGAAATGGTCAGATAGTAAAATAATTAAGAATAGAAACATTGATATCAAGAGATTTGAATATATTTTATCATTCTAAAATATCATATTATATTTTACATAATATTGAGATTCTTAAATTAATTATTTATTGTTATAAGATCATTTGAATGCAGAATAATAAAAAAATAGAATAGAATTTTAATGAACTCCTGTTCCTTCCACATATTAATAGCAAATCCATAGCGATAAATGAATCAATGAGAAGATAATTAAGTTTGTAATGTAAAGATAACTTTTTGTAATTTCTTGTTGTCTAAAAGGCAGGAAAGGTAAAAATGGTTTGAAATAGGTCTGGTGACGTAGTATTTCTAGAAAAGTTGAAATAATAATATCGATCTGAATTCAAAACTAAACCTTTATAGATATCAAAATCACATATTCCATATTTAAAAGTAAAAGATGAAAACGAAAAGTAACTGAAAAAATAAGCATATCTGGTCTTAAGTGGTCGTAAAATGAGATAGTAAACACCTTTGGATGAGTTTATTAAAAAAAGACATGAAAAGAGTTTAAATTAGACTGCTTCTCTAGCTGATGGATTGCATGCAAAATCTAAACTTGATATATTTAACATATGAAATTATAAATAAAATAAAAACTAGTATACATATATAAATGAATTTTATTACTCTGAATAACTATTCCCTAACAATAATAGGAACTAATTAGAAAATCAAAAAAAAATAAGCAACTAGTCAAAAATTATTGAAGTCTAATAATTGATAATATTTAAAATGAAACTAGTCTTGAAATATACTCAAATTTTAGAATATTTAATGTTCATTTTGTAATTAAAAAAAGAATAAATAAATGAAATTATAAAAGAGAAATTAGTCAAAGACAAAGCTATCTTATATTAAGATGTATAATTATTAATTGAAATCATTAAAATAATCTCATTTAATACAATTTTAAAGAATATTAAATTATGATTGAATCTATTATGATAATGTGAAAATCAAGAGGTAAGTATTTATATAATCATGGGAAATAACAAGAATAAAAGAAGTGAAAGAGAATGAATAGACAATATGAAACCTATTCTTATTAAAATAACATATAAAATTAATTATCAAATTTATTTAATTATTCACAAATGCTTATTTGGATATCTAAGATTCTTAAATAAAACCTCAAACTAATAATCTAAAAGATTTTCTGGTCAAATAGTTATCTAATCAGATGGTTCCAGAAAAAATAACTATCTATATAACAGTTCTTAAAGATTGAAACTCTTAGTTCAAATATACTTACTAATCTTAATTAAGATATACATTTTTTGTCATCAAGATAGGATTATCGTAACGAATGTGATATAAAGATCTGTAATTAAATATTTTAGTAATGTTTTATTTGTTCTATTATATAATTTGTTATTATCTTCCATTTTTTTCATTATTATAAATTAAATGTTAAATTTTAAGAATATTTACAAATTATTTATTCAAGCAAAACCTACACCAAACCCAAATTTTTTGAAATTTATTCCAGGTGGAAAGTCAGTTATGCTAAATGGAACCTATGATTTTACAAGACCAAGAGAAGCTAAATGTTCTCCTTTGGCTTAAAAACTATTTATGATTGATGGAGTTACTAGAGTTTTTTATGGAAAGGATTACATTTCTATTGCAAAAAAGGAAGATAGTAGATGGGATGAGTTAAAGCCATAAATATTTGAACATATAATGGAACATTATTAATTAGATTCTGAAGGATAAGAAAAAAAATTAATTATTGAAGGTTATGAAGAAAGTCAAGATACTTAAATAAATGAAAATGATTCAGAAGTATTCTATATATTAAAATAGGTTGTTTAATTAATAAAAGAAATAATTGATACTCGTATAAGACCAACAGTATAAGAAGATGGAGGAGATATAGTCTTTAGAGATTTTGATGAAACGAGTGGAATTGTTTAATTATATATGAAAGGTTCATGTGCAGGTTGTCCTTCATCTTCTGTGACTTTGAAAAATGGAATCGAAAAAATGTTGTGTCATTATATTGCAGAAGTCAAAGAAGTTGTTGCTGAAGATTATAATGGTTCTGATTGAGTAATAAAATGCTTTTAATTTAAATCAATCAATCATCATCTGATTTATATTCTTCTTCTTCTTCATTCATTTCATCAATTTGATCATCATTAATTTAATTACTATATAAGTTTTTTAACTCTAAACCATCATCTTTTTCATCAAATAATAATTAAAATCTATTGTTTTCCAAAAGATTATCATAAAACAATAAATGTTTTTTATTTGGTGGCCATGCTGATGATTCAGGTGGTGGTACTATAGTATCTATAGATAATCTGATAATAATAATAAATATATTTACCTAAAGGCATTTTCAACCATAGCTGGTATTATTCTACCTAATAATGGTGAACTTAATTCTAAACAAGGATTTGTATTTATTTCTATTAGATAAGGTTTAAATTTTTCATCAATCATAAAATCTAATCCAAAAATTTCAAAATTATAATTTTTTTTGAATGGTTCTATTTTATGATATACAGATTTAATAGCATTTAATGTTATCATTTTTAATTATGGATATAAATCTTTATAAAAATCGAAGTGTTCATTATTATGCCATTTATCTAAATATCTTTAAAATTCTGCAAAAGATAATTTATTTCCATTTTCATATTTTCCATATGCTTGACTATATTTTTGTATGGCATCATTAGTCAAATGAACATACTAATTACTTACATCTTATATATCAAACTCTTCACTTGATGTTCTTAAATATCCTTCTTCATACCAATAGGCTCTGATTATATTATTTAATTAAGTTATCAGGAAATAGCATCTAATATCAAATTTTCTTTTATTATATAAAAAAGGCTTCTCAATATATTTTTAAATCAAATAAGTAAATGGTTTTCCATTTGGATGATTTTATCTTTTACTAACAATTCTATGTATCTCATTTAAATTTTGGCATACAATGATTCCATTACCTCTATTTGTAAATTCTCCAGGCTTTACTATCCATATACCGTTTCCCTTCCTTATAAATAATTAAATATACTTTTCTTTATAATATTCTAAAAATTATTAATATGATCTATCTTTAATTCCAGAAACATGGAATGTAACAGGTAAATGTTAAAATAGATCTTATTTAGTTAATTCATAAAACTTTTTCATATTATGAAACATTGCTTTTTTATTTCCTAAATGATAATTCCTTTCAATATGATTGTGAATCTAAGCTTATATCAAGAGATACTTTATTAATATTGTCAATAATTTTAAATTCTTTTTTTTCTGCATATTTTAAAAAGTCTTAAATTGATTTATCAATGTTTTTAATTTCATTAACATCCTAATCATTCATTAATTTTTATAAAGGATCATCAAATTGACCAAATCTTGAAGGTTTTTTTTATGATTTTGGAGATTAAAGTTTTTTTGTTCTTTTTAATTCTGTTGATGTTGTAGATAATGATTTTTAACGAGTTAAAATAGATTCTTTACTCCATTCTTATAGATTCATAAATTAAGGTACCTTGATTTATGTCCAAATAAAATTTAATTCCTTATTATCTGCTTCTTAATTTAATGTCCACCACCATCTTTATTTAAAGGTTTCTTTAATTAGTAAACTGTTATTTCCTTTTCCAACTTTAAATTTTAATTCAATTAAATTGTTTGATGGAACAACATAAAAATTACATTAGGTTGAAACAACAAATAAAAAGTGATGATAACTCAATAATTTTATTTAAAATAGCTGATCTCTACTCAAACTTGAATAATCATTCAATGAAAATCTAAAATTTTAATTTATTTTCATATTTTATTATGAAACATTTTTTATTTTATTACATGGAGATTCCCTTCTTTTTTATACTGAACGAGTTGTACATTCTCTTTTTTCTATTTATGTTTTTAATTATTCCCTCTCTTTTTCTAAAGAATATGCTTTAGTTCTTATAGATTATTGTTCCTATAATTTAGATGTCTTTATTTGCAGACCCATAATTTAAATGAGATTATCTTTATCAACATCATTTTACTTATATTAGAACCCTCTTAAAATGGTGCTTAAAAGGGTTTTAGTTTTATTACTATCCTTGAATTTAGAATTAGATTTTTTAAGATCATTTATATTTGTTTTCTTTTCTTCAACAAGATCCATTTGTAAACTTTATAAGTTATTTTATAAATTTTAAAATTTGTCTATTTTTGAAACAATTGAATCTTCATGCTTTGAATCTGGATATACTATACTTATTGTTGCTTCTTTGTAATATGATTATCTTCTCTACTCTTAGATATAACATAAAATATTACATTCAATTTATGATTTTTAAACTGCTTATAATGCTCTAGGCAAAGAGATGTGTCTTTAATCATGTTATCTTTTCGAATAATAATGTTCAACATTAAACCTATTTAATTTGTTTCGTTATAATTAATTATTTCTGTAGGATGACCTCGAAACAAATGCACTCATTGGATGTACAAGAGTTGGATTGTAAATAGTCTAAAATTATGGAGTATATGGAAAAATGGCTAGATCCTCTCTATTCATTTATTATGAAGAGTATTTATTAATATATTTATATATATAAATATATAACAATTTTCCTTTAAATTCGTTATAACTATTATTTTATAAGTTAAATATTTGATAAAGATAAATAACTATTCTAAAATTAATATATATAAATATATGATGAAAAAAGTATTTCAAATTTAAGAAGAATTAGTTTAGTTATGCTATTTATTTTAGAAGAGTAAAAAGTTTATTTAAATATATTAAAAAATTTATTTTAAGATGCTACAAATATTTTATATATATTTTTAAACAACCATAGTTAATTTTTAGTTCTAAATTTTTAAATAATTTGTAGGATATCTAAAAATTCTCATGAGTGAAATTAATCAATAAAAAAAGCATGAGGAATTAGAGTTGACTTCACAGTAAAAAGATAGTGCAACCAATAATTAAATGCTAACTGTTTTAAATGATTAATAAGATGAGTAATAGCAAGAATAATAACCATTAAATCATTAATAAGGATAAGATGAACCTTCAATGGTTTCGATTCCTGAAGAAGAAGAAGAAATGTTTTATCCTTACTATCATGGTTAGAACAATTGGTTCATTTCTAAGTTGGCTTTTTTACATTTGACATAATACTAATTATTTTTAAAGAAACATTTATTAGATAAAGGACATAAAATTGCATAGAAACATTTACCAAAATTATCACCTTGGGAAGATTTAAAAGAAACAGTTAAATAAAGTTAAAATACAGTAAAATAAAAAAAGAACATTACTTGTGGGGATTTGGTAAAAATAACATTTTTTGGTTAATTAAAATGGATAACTTTAACATGTTTTTTTGCATATTTTATGGAAGCAATTATAAGAAATGGAATATCAATTGTAATGAGTAAAGTGATTACAAGTGCTGGAGAAAATGAAATAGATAATGCATATGGATATGCTACTTTATTAGTATTTTTAAATTTACTTTGTGTTTTTACAAGACATCATGGTTATAATTTATCTATGGTTTTTTCATCAAAAGCAAGAATGACTCTTATTAATTTAGTATACATAAAATTAACTGAATTAAGTGCCTATTCTATAAAAGAAGCTAATATAGGTAAAATTTTAAATTTGATTTCTGGTGATATTAATTATCTTGAATTTGTTTTAATTATGATATTCTAAAGTAGTGTATGTTTCGTTTCTATAATATTTGGATCATATATTCTATGGGATAGATTTGATGGTCCAATTGGTATGATTTCACTTGCTATTATATTCATAGCATATCCTATTTAAATAATACTTTAATCCTTTAATTCTGAAACACTTAAGACTTCTAAATAATATTAAGATTAAAGATTAAAACTAACTAATGAACTTATTGAAGGTATAAGACTTATTAAAATGTATGCATGGGAATAAGCATTTCATAAGATGATATCTATTATGAGAAAGAAGGAATATATTTGTTTATTGAAAATTAGCTTTAGATCAGTTTTTGATAGATTATTTAGTTTAATTTCTTAAGTTTGGTCTAGTTTTGTATTTTTTGTTATTTTATATTATGGAGGCTATAGAAAAACTATGAGTGTTGCTGAAATGATTTCAACTATTTAATTACTTACATTTTTTAAGATAAGTTGTGTTTTTATGGTTTCCTATGGTATTTAATCTGTAATCCATATTAAGGTATCATTTACAAGAATGGCAACTATTTTAAATATTCAAAATTCAGAAATGACAAATTTGGATAAAATTCAATTAAAAACAGATAATAATAATTAATAATAAAATATAAATGATCCAAGAATTTAACTTAAAAATTTTACTTCATTTTGGACAAGCAAAGTTACTGAAACTACAAAACCAGTACTTAAAAATTTAACAATTGATATTTAGGCAGGAGAAGCTTGGGCATTTATTGGAAAAGTTGGTTGTGGAAAGTCAACTCTTCTAAGTGCTTTTTTGTTTGAGATTCCTGCATATAAAGGTTCATTTAAAATTGATGGTTAAGAAGCAAATAAAGGAAAATTAGTTATAGCATATGTTGAATAAGAACCTTTTATATTTCCAGATACTATAAGAAGAAATATCTTATTTGGTAGACCATATGATAAAGTTTTGTATTAAAAAGTGTTGCATGCTTCTTAATTAGAAACAGATTTATCTTTGATGAAATTTTAAGATCATACTGAAATTGGAGAAAGAGGTACAACTCTCTCTGGTGGTTAGAAAGCTCGTTTATCCTTGGCTAGAGCTTTATATTAATAAGCAGATTTATATTTATTTGATGATCCTTTGTCTGCTGTTGATGCAAATGTAGCCAAAAATATATTTCATATGGCTATCAAAGAATTCATATTTGATTTTTAAGTATAGAGAAATCCATCAAAGAAAAAACCAATTGTTATTTTGGTTACTCATTAAGTTTAATATGCTGTAGAATGTGATAAAATAGCAATATTAAATGATGGAGAATTAATAGCTTAAGGTTCCTATGATGATATTAAATAGAGTCTTTATATGATAAATGATGAATTAGCTTTATAGTTAAATAACACTAAGGAAATAAAAAAATAAGAATTTGTAAAACCATCATTTTAGAAAAGAGTAAAAGTTAGAAATTCAGTTGCTAATAATCTAATAGGAAAAGAGGCTGATTAACAATCATTAATTACTCTAAAAACTTATTTTAGATATTATCAATTTTGGAATATAATAGTCATTATTTGTATTTTATGTTTAGAAGCTGGTTCTGAAGTAATTAATAACTTTTATTAAAGAATTATTTCACTTTTTGAAGAATATTAAAAAGAAAATGATATAGATACTGCTTATTTTCTTTTAGGAATGTTAACATTAGCACTTTTCCTTACTAATATGATGAAATATATATTAAATACATATTCAGTTTAATCATCTACTTAAACAATACATTAACAAATGCTTAAATCTATAATATTAGCACCAATTTCATATTTTGATGTTAATCCATCTGGTAGAATTATCAATAGATTTTCAAATGATTTATCTTTATGTGATAATTAAACGAATACTGTTAGTTTAGATGTTCTGGAAATTATTGGTAATTTCTTATTTGCATTAATAACTTTGGCTATATTATAACCATACTTTTTAATTATGATTATTTTTATTATCACTATTGATTTTTATTAGTTTAGTTATTCAAAGAAGATCATTAGTTAACTTAAAGAAGTAGAATTAATGTAAAGAAGCCCTTTATTTGATTTTCTAAAGAAAACTTTAGGAGGTGTCATTTAGGTTAGAGTCTATGAATAATAAGATTGGTTTAGAAAATAGTTTTTAGATATATCTAATAAATGTAATCTTAATTCACTTACATATTATTATTCTTCAAGATCATTTGGCTTTAATTTAGATCTTGTAGGATTTATAGCTTAGACAGTTGGTATATATATTTTTGTAAAATTAAATTATGATAATGTAGCAATATTATCATAAGGATTATTACTTTTGACTACTTATAATGATGCTTTATAATGGGGATTAAGACAATTAATTACTTTTGAAACTTAAATGAATTCATATAATAGAATGTTTTAAGTTATTGATATACTACCAGAAGCTCCTCATTTTACAAAAGAAGATGAAAAACATCCAGATTTTCCAAAAGATGGTAGAGTTAAATTTGAAAATGTATTTATGAGATACAGATAGAATTGTGATTTAGTATTAAAAGGATTATCATTTGAGATTAAAAGTGGTGAAAAGATTGGTTGTGTTGGAAGAACAGGTGCAGGAAAATCTTCTATTTTATAAGTTATTTTTAGAATGTCTGAAATTGAAAATGATTATGAATCAAAATTATTAATTTCAGATTTAGAGATTAGAAAATTAGGATTACATAAATTAAGAAGTAATATTGGAATTATTCCTTAATCACCTTTTTTATTTACAGGAACTATTAGAAGAAATTTAGATCCATTTGAAAATTATACTGATGAATAATTATGGAAGGCTTTAGAATAAACAGATCTTATAAATCATGTTAAAGCATTTTAAAGTGGTCTTTTAACAGATATGAGTGATGTTAATTCTGTATTTTCTGTTGGTTAAAAATAATTAATTTGTTTAGCTAGAATAATTTTATAATAAAGAAAAATTATTGTTTTAGATGAAGCAACTGCTAATGTTGATATGAAAACAGATGATTTTATATAAGAAACATTAAAAAAGAAATTTAGTGATTGTACTTTAATAACTATTGCACATAGATTAAATACAATTGCTGATTATGATAAAGTAATGGTTGTAAGTGAAGGATAAGTTATTGAATTTGATACTCCATTTAATTTATTAGCTAATTCAATTAATTCTGTGTCTGTAGATAAATAAACAGAGTTTTCCAGATTGGTTAAAAACACTGGTGATTAAAATTCTTAAGCCATTTTTGATATTGCTAAATAAAAGTAAATCAGAATGTGATTTTTATTTATTTTTACAGCCATTTAAATTATGTAATTTCATATTTCCATTTATTTATCATTTTATATTTATTATATATATATATATATAAATAGTTCTTTAGACTCATATAATATATTATGTTATTATTAAATAGAAATCAATAAAATTTAATATATCTATTATAATTTATAATCAAAGCTCAAAAACTAGATCTTCATAATCTTAAACTTTTCCAATTTATTAAAATTAAATCTATCTTATTTGTTGATACATACATAATTTGAAGATGTTTATAATTCATCTTTGACTTATTCCAAAAATTCATTATGATGAAAATATTAATTATTCATTTTTTTATTTAATTCCTCCTTTAAAAATGGATAAGCTGGTTAAAATTAATCTTATTTCATTAGAGTATTTAATTATCTAGATAAAACTAAAAATTAATTCTGCTATTACTAATTATATTTAATAAACTCAACAAGAGAAGTAATTTGATTTCGTGTAGTAATATAATTATCATGCATTTTTTTTCTTAATGCTTCTAATTCTTGATTTCTTTTTCTTATTTCTTCTTTTTATTTCTATTCTTAAAACTCTAATTGATTTTAGTCAATTTGATCTTATATTTTACTTGGACTTATTTTTAAATCATCATATGGATTTAATGTTGATATTATAGGATTTTGAATTTGAGAATGTTCTGTATTTAATACAAAAGATTTTGACAAAGTATTTGGTACAATTAATACTTAAGTATTCATATTTTTATTAGTTTAAGGTTCTTAAGAATAAGTTTATATTTTTGGTAATTTTAGTGGAACAATTAAACTATCATTTTGCTAGGATTTACTTAATTCTTTAATTCGCTTTTTATCTTCAGCTATCATCTTATTATAATTATATATATCCTATTCTAACTTTAATTGTTATAGTTTTTGTCTTTTTTCTAAATCTTAATTATTAAAGATTGAATGAATTTAGAATCTTGATCTTGGTTATCTTAAATAATCAATAGTAAATATACTACTAAAACAAGAATTGATCTTTAACATTATCTAAAATTCTATCTTCTTTATTTCTTTCTTCTTTTAATTTAATTTAATTTTCTAAATACTATGCATATTCTCTTTTATCTATTTGATTTCTTTAATTATAACCACTTTCAAACCTCCTTCTCATTATTAATTAATAAATTTATAATAAAATTAATAAATTTAGTAGATGTAGAAGACTTATTCAATATCAATATAAAAATAATTAATTAATCTCTTTCTCATCTTTTGATAATGCTATTTATTTAATAATGTATTATTATAATTATCTTCAATTTTTAATTTATTTTCCCTTTATTAATATAAATCAATGCTTTCTAATTAATAGCTAAGAAATTGGTTTAATTGATTTGACACTATTTATAAGAGCAAATAAATTATTATTCAAAAGGATAAGTATTATCATAAGATAATACTTAAAGAGAAGAGATTATCTTTTATTTATAATTTTTCAAATGTTCCAAGATATTCATGTATTGATTATTTTATAGCACTGAATTACATATTTTATAGCACTGAATTACAAAAGGATATTATAATATATTTTCAAACTTATATTTCCTTTGTTATCAAAAAAATCTTTTAGTATTAATAATAAATTTATATTATATTTTATTATTAACATTATTTCTTAGTACTTGTGATATACAAAATATTAAGTATACTACATTATATCTAAAAAACAATAAATAAAATTCTTTATATTGATAAATAAATAAATATTTAAGAATTAAAACATACGTATTTATTATATATAATTATTCACCAAAAGATACAGAAAAATGCCATGATTGCTCTTAGTCGATTTCCAAAATCAAATTAATTATCTCCAAAATTATTTAATAAATTTTAGTTTAGTCCTAAAATTTGTTATGATGCAAAGAAGGCAAAAATTTATTCTAAGCTTGGTTGATAAATCGAAAAATCTGTAATCAATAATTATTTTTATTTAAGTTCTACTTGTAAGTATTAGAATAGATATGATAACTTGAAATAACCTGCTGGAATTTAATAAGATAAATAACTAATAAATATTGAATAATATATTACTTTTCTCTGTATTCAAATATAGGCTGTAATTGGAATTGCTATGATAATTATAACCATATTGTTTAATGTACTTGTTCTTTTCTACCAATATTGCATTTCACACTAAATCTAGCTTACTCTCCCAATTAAGTTCTTAATTCATTTATAGTTCCTTCGGTAATTAAAAATCCATTAACCATGATTCCAATTCTATTACAAATACTTTAGGCTTCCTATAATGAATGAGTTGTTAAAAGAACTGTAGCATCATTATTTATGGTTGATTATAAAAGTATCTATTAAATAATTCTTCTAGATTTTGGATCTAATCCAGTTGTAGGTTCATCCATAAACAATCTATTTGATCCTCCAATCAAAGCTATTCCTATTTAAACCTTTCGTCTTTCTCCTCCACTTAAATACTTTACTTTTCTATCTTTAATATCATACATATCAAGAGCCTTTAAATATACTTCAATTGCATTTTATAAATTTTATTAACCTTTAAAAGCTCCATATATACTAAGATGTTAATAAACAGTTAAGGAAGGATAGAATGGACAAAATTATGGAACTAAACCAAGATTAGTATTAATATCTTTAATTCTTACTTAACCAGAAGTAGGCTAATCAAATTTGGTAATCATATTAAAAGTAGTTGATTTTCCAGCACCATTTGGTCCTAGTAATCCATATATTTCTTTTTATTTAATTTAGAATGATAATTTATGAACTGTTTCAACTTATCCAATTTTCTTTGTTAATTCTTATACATCAACAACTGCATCAGTATCATTCATATTTGATTGAATTTACTTAAATTAATTTCTATCAATTGAATATAAGATTAAAAAATAAATGGTTCCTCCTATAATTAAATATAAGATGCAGGAGAAATAACTAAAAACAGCAAAATTTAATAATATGGGACTCATAGCAAAACCCATATAACAAGCTGTAAATGGTGATATTATCATAAATATCATTGATATCATACTTAATCCTAAAGGACATCCAGGTTGGGCAGTGTATAACATTAATATGAAAAATAAGAGGAAAAATACAAAGAATTATAATAATGGAACTCCTACATAAACACCTTATTATTTTTTATAGAAGAGTGTAAGACAATTAGCAAAACAACTTAATGAGACTCCAAAAATAGTTATTAAAAAGAAAACTCCAAAGAAATGTGATCCAAAATGTCCAACATCATAAACAAATAAAAGAAATGCTGTAAATAGACCTTCAATAAGTGATGGTACAATATCAGTGACAACATTACTTAACCAATATGTATATATTTAGACTCCACTTGCATACATATATTATTTAATTTTAGTATCTTTATCTTCTAATTGAATCATTACATATAAGGTAGATGTGAGAGCTTTAATTGTCAAATACAAACATACAAATAAAAATGAAGATTATATACCAAATATGACAGCTAAATATATAAATGGTAATGGGAATAAATATTTCCATTATTTATCAGTTGAACTAAGTAAAACTAAAAGTTTTCTTTAAATTAAACTAAGTAATTAAGTTTTGAAATCAATTATTGGTTTCTATTAAAATACTCTTTAAGCATTTAAATCTATATTTTATGTTCCATATTAATAATCTATTGCAAGATATGAATCTTCTAAAGAATTTAATTAAAGTGAGAATTTGCTTTATGAATTATCTTCTAAATAATTTAAGAGTTCATGAAATAAATGAATTTTATTAACTGGTAATACACTCTTTAAAGAATTTGGAGCACATTAAATTATAGGTGTATAACTATCTATTTTTTAGAGTTAAGCTTATATTATAGGTTTTTCTAATAATAATTAATTCTAATCCTAAAAGTCCATTTATAAATGATAACCAACTCCAAAATTAAGTTTAATGAAATCAGGAGTACCTTAAGTTACAATTTATCCATTCATTAGAATTCCAACTCTAGTAGCTAATTCATCAGCCTCTTCCATATGATGAGTAGTCATTATGATTGCTCTATTTAATCTCATTTATTTTATGACATCCCATATTTATTATCTTGTTAATGCATCCATTCCTGATGATGGTTCATCCAAAAATACAATTTTAGAATTTCCAATAAGAGATATTGCCAAACTTAATTTTCTTTTATTTCCACCACTTAATTAATCTGCCTTTAAATTAGCTTCATTTATTAATTAACAAACTTATAAGATATAATTTATTTATTGTTATAATTCTTAATCTAATATACCTCTCAACTATCCATAAAATTTTAGATGTTCATAAACATTTAATTCTGAATATAAAACATCTTTTTATAAACAAATTCCAATTTGATTCTTAAAAGACTTATTATCTATACTCTATCCTAAGATATTGATTTTTCCTTTAGTTTTTTCAGTAACTCCAGATAATATATTAATTAAAGTTGATTTACCTGCTCCATTAGGTCCCAATAAACAATAAATCTCATTTTAATAAATTTCCATATTGAGTGATTTTAGAATATATTGATTCTCAATCTTTTTCCACATATTTTCTACTTAAATATAAGGTTATCCTTAATTTTCTACAAGTTGATCTTAAATATTTAGCATTGGTTTGTAAAGTTAATATGGCTCTACTTCTTAATTAGTAGAATTTGGATTTGATTCATCATCAAAATCAGTATAAGTTTTTGTTTACTTTTTGCAATAATTACATAAGAAAAAATACTTTTTAGATCCACTCACAACTTAATCGAAATACAAAAAACCTAATGTATAACACACTATCTAAACTATTAAACAAGTAATGTATATTCCAGGATTCAAGAAATATTCTTCATCATTATATAACCAATGTGAACTTAATAATAACATTTAAAATGCTGTTTATGGTACAAATAAAGTAGGTAATTGACTAAAGAATGTTAATTTAGGTTCTGGAGCAAAATTGGAAATCACAACAAATGTTAAAATTACATTCAATAAACCTATAAGTTCACTAGCCTTATTTTAATTTTTGGAGAATGAACTTAAAAATAATACCAAAGATGCTAAAGCACAAGAATATAAAATTTATCCTAAAATTAACATATCAATTCTTAAATGTCCTTTCCCTGCTTCATTAAGTCTAAATGCAATAAATGGTATTATATAAAATAGAGAAACACCAAAAGTCAAAACAAAAAATGTTATAATCCAGGATGCATAATAAGCATTTGAACTTAATCCCATTTATTATTATAATTTCTTAAATTTTTAGCTTTTTTCTCTAATAATCAATATTAATGATTATCTTAATACTCCATTATTATTTAAACAAACAAATATTAATAAAATGTAGTATGTTTCATTATTTTTGTAGGTAAAAATTATTGATAAAATTGCACTTAATACTGGAATGTATAAGTTTACCCAGAATTATTTTGATCTAAAGTGTAAAGTGAAATTCTTTTCTAATAAGGTTTTTAGTTAATTCATATATACAATTAATTAATAATTATTATATTAATATTTTTATATTATTACTAATAACACTATATAGAAACAAATTACATATAGATGTAATTTAATAATCTCTTTAATTATTAAACTATATTTTCTAATTCAATTATTAACAATCATAATGAAAATTTCATTTTTTTAATGTAAATTATATAAATAAATCTATATTTATTTACTTTCCATTAAATATTTTAATTTACTTTAATTCTATTTATAATTAATTAGAATAGGGTAATTTGATTATCTATATTGATTTAATTCTAAAAAATAAAATAGAGATCTAATTTCTAATTTTTAAACTAAATATATATATAAATTAATATACTTTAAATAACAATAAAAATAATTGATTGCAATATTTTATCAATTTAAAAATAAGTTTAATAAATTAAAGCTTAAATCTCTAAGAAATAATAAAATAAGTTTATAATTATTATTTCTTACAAAAAGCTAATCTGAATGTGTATTTTCTTATAGATAATTATTATTAATATATTAATCTAAATAATTATATCAATAATGAAAGATTTTTATTATTGAAGTTATATAAATAATGGATATTATATTTTTTATAAGTAGAATATTATTTTTTATAAGTATCCATTAACAATTAATTTAAACATAAATTATATTCAATGTAAAACAGAAATATCTCTGTTGGTAGAAGTTAAGAGCTAGTAAAGAAAATACCAGATTATCGTGCAAGATATCAGCCTATAGAATTGTAACTATAAAAGGAAGGGGGATTAAAAAAACAAATATATGAACCTTAGCCAAGATTGGAAGAAATCAGCATTAAAGGAATAGCCTAATTAAGACATAATGTGAATTAGAGTTGTAGAGAAACTTATCAATTTTCATAAACATAAGTAATGAAGATTAATCATGATGGATTAATTAGTGAGATTGCATTTTGTTAAGACTCTTAAAGAAGAGAGTAAGAAATTGCTACTCTTGGTGAAGAACATAAAAAAGAAATAATAGAATACTGTGAATACAATCAAGTTAAGGTTATGATATGTATCACTATGTATTCTGAACCTTTATAAGAATTATAAAAATCTTTAAAAGGAATACTAGATAGTTTGGATGAATTTTATTAAGATGGAATATTGCCAAATTAAATTTTAGTAGTAGTGATATATGATGGAATTGAAAATATAAGAAATTAAGGAGATGAAAATGGTAATAATCAAGAAGGCGATATTATACGTATATTTTTGTATTTTATTTAGCCTATTTTTGTTAATATTTAGACAAATAAAATAAAATTGAAGGGAAGTAAACACTTGAAGAACAATATAAATTGTATAAATTAAATAAATAATTACTCTAAAAATATTCTTTAGAATAAAGAAAGCGATTTTTATAGAGAAATGATTTTTCTAAGGATTAATTTATAAAGAGAGATCCGAATTTAAATTATATAAAGAAAAATTATACAAAAGCTGTATAGACAATGGAATCCTTATATAATAAGGCAAAGGAATATATAGATTTAAGATAAAATAATGCTTTAGTTTATTAAAGTGTATTTACAACTATGCTTCCAGATTAAGAAGATTTATAATTACCAATTTTTAATGTTTTTAAATTTGCTAATGGAACTAAATTATCTTCACATTTGTGGTTTTTTAAAGGATTCTGTTAAGAATTTTAACCAGAATATTGTGTCTTAATGGATTGTGGAGCAAAACCTTAAAAAGGATCTATTTATTATTTGATAAAGGAACTTATAGATAACAAACAAGTTGGAGGTGTATGTGGAACTATGTCAATTGAATTATCTAAATCTGATGATTAAAAGGGTGAATATATGGATATAATAAGTAAAATATTAAATGTTGATATTTTCAATATTGAAAGATGTTAAAAATGTGAATATGATATTGGCAATTTATTAGATAAATAATTTGAGTCAGCATTAAATTTTATTTAAGTTCTACCTGGAGCCTATTCAGCATATAGATATAAAGCCTTTTCAACAAAATATTAGCATGAAATTTAACATAAATGTAATGATTCATAAATAAGCATCAATAATTAAATTTTAAATATTTCTAATGAATCTTAAAGTAATTAAAATGAAGACATTCTAAATATTTATTTAAAATCTAAATTAGATCCTAATTATGAACATGAAACTTTAGAAGAAGCTAATATGTTTTTAGCAGAGGATAGAGTCTTGTGTTTATACTTGTTTTGTAATGGATACTACTTAAAATATGTAAGAAATGCATTAGTTGAAGTTGATCCTCCTTAAAATATAATTTAACTTTTATTGTAACGAAGAAGATGGATAAATGGATCATATTTTGCTTTGAATTATGTAATAAGGAAATTTGGGGAATAATTGCCTAATAGTGGTCATTCATAAATTGATAAATCGTTATTCATTTTGTGTTTAGTATTTGCTAAAATTTCATAATTATTGCAATATCATGCAATTACTCTTTAAATAGTTTGGTTATTCATTGTTGTAAAAACATTAACAGAAAATTTAGATAAAATGGTTGCTGCAGCAATTAAGTAATTAGTTATTGGAAGCTATGTTTTTTTAGTTTTCATTTTAATCTATCTTTCATTAACTTATAATTCAAGTAGTGTCAATATGATAATTAATAAGTAATAAAAAGAGAAGGAAAGAAATTAAATTAATTAATATTACTATTCTAAATTTTATGGAATATCTACTGTTTTAGGGTTGGTTAGTCTTTTAATTGCTGGATTCTCATTTTATTTTTTAATAATTGAATTAGTAATCAATTAATCACCTTTAAAATTTATTAGTGTTCCTTAAGATCTACCTTCATATATTTATTTTATAGTTTTAATCTCATTTATTTTTACAGTTTTGCCTTTTATATTGCAATTATTTATTGATTGGAAATTAGTATTCAAAATAGCAATTAATTCAATTCATTACATATATTATATGCCTACTTATACTCATTTATTTATTACTTACTCTTTTTGCAGAATAGATGATTTGACTTGGGGAACAAAAGGTTTAATATCAGAATTAGAGAATAAAGGTTAAAACAATAAAGAATCAGATAAAAAATTTCAAAAGTTTAAATTTGTTGCAGAATGGATACTCAGAAATGTTTTTTTAACATTAATTTTTTATTTACTATTTTAATTAGAAGTTTAGAATATAATGGTAATTATAATATTATCATTTGGAGTTGTATTAAGTTTATTATAATTGGTCAAATTTATAGGTTATTTCAAATATTGGTGTTAGTTTATATTTATAAAAAAGTCTCCTGCTTAAATGCGTAGTATTGATTAAGCAGATAATAATAATAATGATAATAGAGTGCATCCCAATAATGAATAACAATGTCCTTAAAAATATAAACGGAAAGGTGTTAAAGAAAGAAGCAAATTATACAAGTAAGCTTTAAGGCACTTATACTAACCATTTCAAAATGAAAATTTATCTTAATAAATAAATGAAGCATGAATAATATTTATAGATTAATATCATTTATCCAATTTTATTGTAATTTTGCATTATCATATGAAAAATTGAATGTTTAGAAATATTTTCTCTGAAAGTTCATAATTTGTTTTCTGATCTTAATTTAACTAAGATATTCTTTTAAATACCAGATTTTTGTTCTTCAATAATTATTGAGATATTTACTCTTACAGCAGCTTCAATAGCTCGTGTTGAATATTTATCATTTTGAGATCTGACACAAGTGAAACATTTTTTCATCTGATTCCTTCATTAACTATGGCAAAATTTCATAATAAATAATAAAGTCTAATTTCTTCGAATCTCCAGTTATTCCTTAATTATAGCATGCTTAAAATTGATTACCGATATGACCTATACAATTAGTGTGAAAATAGATAATTAAAAGCTGTAAAGATAATCATAATATCAGTTCTTTAATAGTAGTCTACATTCTTTACTCTTTCTGCAGTATCAAATTCAAATTAATAATCACTAGCTTCTAAAAATCTGTTTTTGGTACCACAGTGCTTGAGAATATCAATGCATCAATGTGGGTCAAGTGAATTTAAATAAAATACTGGTTGATTCTCAATTCTTTTAATGAAATTAAGACCAGGATCTGTACCTCATTAGATTTTTTCTGCTGAAATGAATATCTCAATATAATTTATCTCCTAAAACAAATTACTTATGAAAAATTTGTTTCCAGATCATATGTACATAAACTACTAAAAGAATAAATTTTACTTAAATATAGTTAATCTTCATAATTTCAATATTCTACTCTTCATATAAAATCTTAAATATTTTTTTTACGATATTGAGTATTTTATTTAATTTATAAACATAATAAATTTATTATACTTTATTAAATCCAAATTTTTTTATAGAATTATGTATGATAATAAATATTGAAAACTTTGAATTTGATTTCTTTGTAATTAAATTAATAGACAAATATTATTCTATTAAATACTAAACAATTTCAGTCAAAGTATTCACTACTATTAATTAAATTTATTTTAGGTATTAAAATAAAATATATAAATTAAATTTATTTATAAGCATAATTAATGTATCAACTTTTTAGATTAAGAATATTCTAAACTAATCTTTAATTAACAATAGATGTTATCCTAATCTAGATTCTACTTTAAATTGAATATTATGAAAACGTTAAATAAAAATTTAATCGTTGTTATGATATTATTAATATCTGAATAATAATTTGAATTTTTCAAATTAATGATTTGCTGTATTAGTATATTTGAGGATAGAATTCTTATTAAAAATCATATTTAATAATATGAAAAGGAATAATTAATTTCTATATTAGTAATTTGAATATGTTAATAATGATGTAGTTATTATGTTTTAAGGTCCAAGTGGGTTTTTATTTTGCTTCATATATATGTTAATTAATAAATAATATATTAAAATCAATGATATAAGATTCATTATTTGCTGAATCCTTTTGGAATCCAATTTCGCTTAATTCATTTTCAACAGACGATGATTATAATGTAAATTTTTTGATTTCCATTAATATAGGTGTTTTAATTATACTCTGAAAACACCCCAGTAGTAATAAGAGTCATTGCTGGGTAATTATTAGCCAGTAGTTAATAAATGGATTTATTGCAAACATACATTACACTAGATGAGAAAGGAGTAACACTTTAAAATAAATTTGGATAAATTACATACACAGGACCATAATTATATTAGTTTTATGAACTCATTAATAAATACTGTATACATTTAGATATCCATAATCATTACTAAATTGAGAAACAAACTCACTAATTAGATAATTTTGAGGTATAATTATTTTATACAATTAGATTTTTCAATCCAGAGATAAAATGACTGCTATTTAAAAATCAATAAAAAAGTATACAAAAAAATTAGGAAAATAGTATTTGAAAGACATTCTTAACTACTCAAATTATGAATATTTATTTGAAGATGACTAATATTTATATTTGGTCATGCCATCCTTAAATGGATGTAATATTAATAAATTAGCTTTCGAACAATCATTCTTTGGTTTACTTAAGCTTTTATACAAATATCATAACTAAGGATTAGTATTAAATTAATTTTCTGTAATTATATTAGATTTATTTAGGAATCAAATATCATTTTATTAGATGAAAATTATAATATGGAAATACTGGATAATTCTTATCTTAAAAGAATTACTCAAGATTATCAAAAAGATATATTGTAAGATGTTTAAATTATCAAAAATTATTTAATTTAATAGTAAGTTAACTAATATATTTCAGATTTCCCCACAAATAAGATGTCTTATTAGATGTTGTTAATACCAATATACATTCAGTCCAAGAATTATTATTTAATTCACATTTTATCAATTACTTTGGAGAGAGAAACTTTTTTTTGTTTTTAAATACATAACCATATTAACAGTTAAATTTTCTCTCTTCTAATCCATAATTAAATTTACTTGAAACATTTAATACTATTAGATCAAATATTATGGATTCATCTGATGAATCAGAAGACATCTAATTAATTAATCAGTTTAATTTTAGTCAATCATAATTCGAAGACTCTCCAATGCTCTCTCCTTAATTGAAACCTAAACATCAATCAAGATTATCAAGTAGATAAGTAGTGTTAGAAACTCTATTAAATGAACACATCATTACACCTGAATAATTCTAACAATTTTATAAAGAAGAAGATTTTTAAAATGAGCAAGAAATTAATGAATTTAGTGAGATGCTCTCTAAAGAAATTCAAAATTCCTAATTAACAACTCCAATTTAAAGTGATGTAAGTGAATAAATTTACTATTATTAGTCTACTGCTACATGTCCTAATACAGTCATTATACACTCTAAAAAAAATGTTGTTAATCGCATTTGCGATATAATACATGAGGCTAAATAAGAATTTATTTATGCAACAAAAAAACCATATAATGTTAATAAAGTTTTGAACGTAAGGAAGAATCTATTCAATTTGCATTGATCTTCTTAATAAACCTAATAAATAATTTATCTTTATTAATCTTTATATATTATTTAATAATCAAATCTTACATGTTCTATATGAATTATAGACATAATAATTTATATATGTTAACCTTTTTTTATTAATATAAATCAAAGTTCTAATATTTAATCTATATTAATAAAATCCAAAACTATACATATCATAATTAAGAGACAAATATTTAAACATTATAATAAAACTATCAATTAATTTAGATATTAATAAATATATTTTTATATATAAATATATTTATATAAACTTTATTTTTTTCCTTCTCTTAGATATCTAGTTGGGTTTTATTGGAATTTAGAAAAACAACCATCCAAACATAAGGTCCACTTTTTCCTGTTTTAACTTAGCAACAACCTTCATAATAATATTAATACTTATGTATTTTATAAATATTATAACTAAATTATTATTAAATATTATATACTGAGTGAATTTTGTTTTCATCTCTGGAAAATGTTAATTCTCCTTCGAGTTAGGTATTATAAGGTTTTCAGCAATCTTCTTTTAAATTTATAGTTTACTTAATAACTACAAATGATTCAATAAATTTCTATATAAATCACAGATTTCCTTATCTGAAAATTGATGTCAAACTGAAATAATATGATTATATAAACATTTTGCAGCCCATAATTTTTCTATTATTGTGCCAATCCATATTAGAGATAAAACTTTTTGAAAGAAATTTATTAATTGCATTTCTACTTAATAATTATAGTATTAAAGTTGAAATGTTTTAAAATTCAAAAATAAATAAGGAATAATCAATTCCATATTATAGAAATTTTCTCAATCTCAATTCATTAATAAACTCCAGAGAATTATTATCTTTAGCTCATTTGAAAATCATTTTCCCTTTAATTGCAATTTAAAATTTGTTTAAAATATATATTTAATAATTTTTAGTCATCATTATCTTATTCTTTTTAAGAGAATTCATTTTTTTCTATCTTATTTACCTGATATTCTAAAATGAAATCAATTTAGAGACATCTTCAATCATTCCTACAGACTAAGAGTACAAGAATTATGAATCAAATAAATTCATTTAATATTATTTTTTATACTATTTTTCAATCTAACATCTTATATATTTGAGAGGCTTTACATTTTACTATCTAAATAATTATCATTATTATTGCTATCTTCATCTATGTTTCCACTTGAATCTTCTAAATTTAATTTGAATTCTGCATTTCCTCTCAAATTTTATAGGATATCATTTTAAATAGCAGAATTCTTAGAACTAATTTGAGCATAAATTATGCTATTATTATGTGGATCAGGAATATCTATAATATCTGTTTAAGTCTTAAAAGGATTGTGAACACTATTATGAATATTGTTATTATTATTATTGTTGTTATTATTATTAATTATACACATATAAGAACCTTTATTATTTTTACTTCTTAATTTTTCACTCTTTTTGAGTATAAAAGATTTGCTTTATCTACTTGCGATACTGAAAAGATCTGCTTAACTTTCTTCACACATTAAGATTGATTGTTAAGATATTATTTACTATTTCTCTTTAAAAGCTTTGACTACTTGACTCAATTCTATAGATTTTTTCTAGTTAATATTTTTCTCCATTTTCATTATCTTAATTAATAAAAACTTAATTACCCGATGCTTTGCTTTAAGATTTTTAATTTTAGTTTCAATATGAAGATCCAATTATTCAGTTAAGGCAGAATAAAGACTCATTAAGTCTTATGTTACTTCATCAAACAAATCCTATGATTATGCTACAAATTCCATAACTTTTTAGTTATTATCTAATAATTATTCAAGTCTTCTTTCCATAAACTTCAGTTCTTTGAGATTTAAAGTTTATTAATCTTATAAATTTTGATTTGAATCTTTAATTGCAAATTATTCTTTAATTTTTTATATTTCATTATTTTCTTCAGAAATTCTTAAAGTTTAAGTTAAATTCATTCCCATAACAGCAACAGGTCTATAATTTAATTATATATTACAAAGAGACTGATGTAATCCCAAAAAATGCAGCAATACATGCTATAAATTTTCCAGATAAACTCAATGGTAATTTATCTCCATATCCAACAGTTGTCATTGTAGCAATGCACCACCAAATAGCCTCTGATATTGACTATATCTTTTATTCATCATCAATTTATATGTTTTCATTATATTCCAAATAATATACTATTATTGAAAAAAATAACACAAGGAATAAAAACATAGTTATCAATATAAGTATATCCTTAACTGAATTTCTTACTGTGTCTGCCTTTTTAAGTGATGCTAATAATTACAATCATCAACATATCCTTCATAAATCGAGATAATTTGAATAGTCGAAATACTCTCATGAANTATATTTGAGAGGCTTTACATTTTACTATCTAAATAATTATCATTATTATTGCTATCTTCATCTATGTTTCCACTTGAATCTTCTAAATTTAATTTGAATTCTGCATTTCCTCTCAAATTTTATAGGATATCATTTTAAATAGCAGAATTCTTAGAACTAATTTGAGCATAAATTATGCTATTATTATGTGGATCAGGAATATCTATAATATCTGTTTAAGTCTTAAAAGGATTGTGAACACTATTATGAATATTGTTATTATTATTATTGTTGTTATTATTATTAATTATACACATATAAGAACCTTTATTATTTTTACTTCTTAATTTTTCACTCTTTTTGAGTATAAAAGATTTGCTTTATCTACTTGCGATACTGAAAAGATCTGCTTAACTTTCTTCACACATTAAGATTGATTGTTAAGATATTATTTACTATTTCTCTTTAAAAGCTTTGACTACTTGACTCAATTCTATAGATTTTTTCTAGTTAATATTTTTCTCCATTTTCATTATCTTAATTAATAAAAACTTAATTACCCGATGCTTTGCTTTAAGATTTTTAATTTTAGTTTCAATATGAAGATCCAATTATTCAGTTAAGGCAGAATAAAGACTCATTAAGTCTTATGTTACTTCATCAAACAAATCCTATGATTATGCTACAAATTCCATAACTTTTTAGTTATTATCTAATAATTATTCAAGTCTTCTTTCCATAAACTTCAGTTCTTTGAGATTTAAAGTTTATTAATCTTATAAATTTTGATTTGAATCTTTAATTGCAAATTATTCTTTAATTTTTTATATTTCATTATTTTCTTCAGAAATTCTTAAAGTTTAAGTTAAATTCATTCCCATAACAGCAACAGGTCTATAATTTAATTATATATTACAAAGAGACTGATGTAATCCCAAAAAATGCAGCAATACATGCTATAAATTTTCCAGATAAACTCAATGGTAATTTATCTCCATATCCAACAGTTGTCATTGTAGCAATGCACCACCAAATAGCCTCTGATATTGACTATATCTTTTATTCATCATCAATTTATATGTTTTCATTATATTCCAAATAATATACTATTATTGAAAAAAATAACACAAGGAATAAAAACATAGTTATCAATATAAGTATATCCTTAACTGAATTTCTTACTGTGTCTGCCTTTTTAAGTGATGCTAATAATTACAATCATCAACATATCCTTCATAAATCGAGATAATTTGAATAGTCGAAATACTCTCATGAATCTAATAATTCTAATAACTCTTAATCCAGAAAGATTTGCACCTTCAAATATCAAATTAAATAAGAATGGAGTGATGGCAAACAAATCAATAATGTTAAGTGGGGATAGTATAAATCTAGTAAAAGATTAATCAAAAGCAGTAGAACTGAACATTCTTAAAAAGTATTCTGAACCAAAGAATATGAATAAGTAATACTCTAGATAAAACGAAATGTTGTCATATTCATAATTATTCTCTATTAGTAATTAAAAAAATTATACACCATTTTCCATTAAGGAATCAACAATAATGGCAACACATGATAACAAAATACTTGTTAATAATAAGAATTATATGATATAAGCAATAACTGAGGAATTCGGATCTTCTAATAGAACATAAATATATTGTTGCATTCCTTTGCATATCACCTTGAATTTCCCATAAAAGGTTTGGTTTTATAATTTTTTCTTTAGAGAAAAATCTTCAGTTTTGAATTTCCTGATTCTATCTTTTTATGTATTAGGCCTCAACTTTTAATTTTAAGCAACACTTTCTTCTTTGGGGGAGAATATTTAGCTAGGTTTTTATTCTGTAATCATGATAATTTAAATTTCCCTATTTATATAATTTATAAATAGTATGCTTTTATTCTGTACTTTTTAATATAATCAAAATATACAAAATAAAAACATATTTCAATTAAAAATAAATACGCACTTTTAAAGTAAATGGGTTTATAAAAATTTCTTATTAATTAGCATTTCCCTTGATCTTACTTTAAAATATTACCCAAATACTCTAATTGGAATTACCAAAAATAAAAAGTTTTGCATATCAACCTTATGTACATCTTAATTTTAATTAATTTAAATTGACAATTCTAAAACTCACCAATAATTTCAGTTTTTGTTATTAGATATTTTAACTTTAGCCTTTATAGATTATAATGGAACCAATTAATCAAAAATATCAAATTTAATAAAGATTGAATCATTAAAATAATGGGTTTAAATACAAAAGATTATCTACATGATGTGTTTAATATCAGAAAATAAAAAACAAATAATTAGTAATTAGTAATTAGATATGATCTATTATGAATCCATTATCTCTTATATATAAAAATTAAAAATTTCTGATTAAAAATTGTGTATCTAATAATTTTAAATATTATTTAAATTTTATTTATTATATTTATGTTATTATTGTATATTTAATATTTCAATATGATCTTCCCCATAACACATACTTCTTTGCTTCTTGGCCACAATTAAAACATAACTCTCCTTCTTTTACTTAATCTTACTTTAATGGCATGCATAAGGTTTTAGCACTACCAGTTAATTAGACTTATCCATCAATTTCAGAATCCTTCTCCTTTGATTCTATTCCTGACTTTGTTTTCACTTACTTTTCACATTCTTATCTTTCACACCTAAATCATAATTAATTAATCAATACCATCTAGTTAATATTGTATTTCTTTGATTTAATTGAGTCATGAACTCTTTCCAATTGTCTGCTTATTTGATTCTTTAATTTAATTCAGTTCTAGCTTTTTCTAACATGGCATTATGGATATTATCAAGTATTTAACTTAATTGATTAAGTTCCTCCATTTTAATTTGATATTTCTTATTGTCAAATCTTTAAACAACTCTAACTTCATTATTTTTGAATTCTCCAGGTCCAATTTCCAATCTAATAGGAACTCCCTTCTATTCCCATTTATTAAATTTCCATCCTGGAGAATAGTTGTCTCTGCTATCCAAATGAACTCTTAATTTTTCTTTCACCAATCTATATATAAATAATTAATAAATACATTTATCTAATTTATTCACATCTTTCATTCAATTATTTCTCTTCAAGATCTTTATGAATAATTGGTATAATAACAATTTAATATTTAGCAACTCTTGGTGGCAATACCAAACCTTTATCATCACCATGGAACATAATCATTGCACCAATAGATCGAGTAGTTAAACCCCAACTTGTTTACCAAGCAAAGGCTTTTTATTTCTTATCATCTTCGAAATTAATTTCAAACATCTTGCTAAAATTTTATCCTAAATGATGAGATGTAGCTCCTTATAAGCCTCTTCCATTTTATGGAATGATAGTTTCTACTGTTGTAGTAAAATCTCCTCCTGCAAATTTCTCTGATTCTGTTTTAATCTAAACATATTAATGAGTATTATACTCCTTTTATAACAGGAACAGCCAATAATTCGCCATAAACTTATTCATAGAAATCTAAAATAGTGTAAACTTGTTTCACTGCTTCTTCCCTTGTTGAATGTGCTGTATGTCCTTCTTACCATAAAAATTCTCTAGTTCTAATAAATGGTGTTGGGAATTTGAATTCCCATCTCACAATATTTGTCCATTAGTTCACTTTTAATGGTAAATCTCTATGACTTTGTACCCATTTTGCAAAAGCTGGATACATAATTGTTTCAGATGTAGGTCTTATAGCTAGAGGTTCATTTAGATCACTTTCTCCATATTTTGTAACCCAAGCAACTTCTGCTTTAAATCCCTCTACATGTTCTTTCTCTTTATTCAAATGTTTAGCAGATAGAAACATTGGGAAATAAGTATTTTCAACTTCTTCAGTTTTAATAAGATCATCAAAATATCTTTAAATTTATTCCCAAATAAAATATGCCCATGGTCTTAGAATATAACAACCACTAACATCATAATATTCAATCAATTCTGCTTTTCTTATAACTTATTGATACCATTCTGAAAAATCTGATTTTTTTACTGTAATAGCTAATGTTTATAGATTTTATTGATCTTTCTATTAATCTTTTTGTTATTCTTTTTATTATTCTTTTTATTATTCTAATTTTTATTCTGCAGCAGCATCAGTTAATTATAAGACTGTAAATTATCTGTTTAATATTTTTAAGAACTTGTTTTATAAATCATCAAGTGAAATTTCTACAGTTGTTGTATTTTCGATTGGATGTAAAGCTAATCTCTTATATTTAGTCAATTCTTCATCAATAATAATATTTTTGACCTATTTTATATTAAATGAGCATTACAAGATTATTTGTATCGTTGGCAACAGCAAAAGGATTAACATTACCTTTGCTTGATTTCAGAGCTTCAGCAATTTGCTCTTCTTTACTTAATCTCATGTTTCCAGAAGCTAATCCAAGTGTTTTCCAAAACAATTTGCCAACTTAAGTTGTGTGATTAGCTAATATCAAATAATAATTTGACTAAATGATAATATTAATATATTTTCTACCTTTTTATCAACATACAATAGATTCTTTACATATGCTGTCCCATCTTCTACTTTTATTTTTACAACTTCTTCCATTGTTGGAACTGGATCATGATGATGTGCAATATATTCTATTCCTAATTTTGTTAATTAGTCTAGACAGGCTTATTTGTTTGGCAATTAGAAATTATTGTCCATAAAAATATTAAAAATAATTTTGAGAATTTTCAAATGATTTTTCAAAAAATTCAAACACTATTAAATAATATAAAGTATATTTATATCTTATTTTCAAAATATCTTATATGATTATTAACAGTAACATTCATTCATATTATTCAAATTCATAAAATAAAGAAATATAGATAAATGAATTAATATATATTTTATTATCTTACTTTCATAGCATTTTCATTGATTTCAATAAAATAAATAAATGAGAAATTGAGATCTTAATTATTTCAAGAAATTAAATGATTATCCCCTGTATTATCCTTTTTTAAAATTTGATTTCATGAAATATACTTAGATCTATATAGAAAACTAAGATATAATTCTTATTATTAAATATATCATTATCATTCGATTAATTGCCGTGAAAGATCTAATTATTAATAAATTTTTATATTTATTTTGACCACCAATTAAGCTTATCTTATTAAGTAAAAATGATTAATTCAAATTAAAATTTTATGCATAAGTTTAAAAAGTATAATTCAAGATATTAATAACTTTCACTTTATATAGTTTGCAGTCATAAAATTAATGTGGTTAGTTCTTTTGAAAATAATACATCAATTATACTTTGAATCTTATTATTTCTTAATTTAGTTTGATTGGTATGTATGAGTCTTTTTTCTGAAACTACTTTCATACAAACAATCAATCTATTCTTTAATTAATTAATAAATTTTTCAATTTCATATGAAAATAACAATAATATTATTATAAACTAGATGTATTATATCAACATCATTTTGTCAGGCACAAATTTAATAAATATCCAAGCCATTGTTACTAATTTTACTTGTCTCAATGTTTTAAAATCCTTATATTGATTAATAGAGGAATATTTGAGTATATCTATTTAGAATATTGTAGAGTTATTTATATAATAAGGAATTATGTTCTTTAAAGTTATATTTTTCATATTTTAAGTTGATTTTATTTAGTCTCATCTAAATTAAAATTTTAATAATAAATATTTAAAATAAATAAATGAGACAGACGTCCTACAATTAATTTACATGCCATACAGAAATGGATAACTAATAACATTTAAGATCTAATAGTTAATCTTTATCCATCACAGATATGCATACTGCTGACACAAACAGAAAATTATAATAAATTGCTTTTGAATCTAAATAATATTTAGAATAGGAAGAAGAAGAGGAGAAGGAATATATTATTCTTTAAAATAGTATTCGATAGTAGTTATCTGAGCGACTAAACATTGAAAATTTATGTAGGAATATTCTAAATTTATAGCTAAGTTTGATTTTTCAAATATAGAAAACAAAATACAACTGATATTTTAATGGATAATAGTAGTTTTTTACAGAAGCAGTAGTGAAATGTTTGAATGGAAAAGTTTTAAAGTAACGTAGATCTATTAATAAAAGGAAATTTGTATTATTCAAGATAAAGGTATGGATTTAAAAAATAGACTTGGTTTGAAAAACGTAGTCCGAATGACAAAATTAGAATTTGAACTTACAAAATAATTAATGTTATAAAGACATTGTATTGAATCCAAAAATAACAATAACAAAGATGTTATTTAATTTATTAGTTAAATTTATGACATTTTATAAATAATAATAAGGACATTTGAGGCTGGTTAAAAAGTTATGCGAATTGAAGAAGAGTTGATTAGAGTAAAATTTATCATATCATTAGAGGTAAATATCAGAAGACTTGTCAAAAGAGGAAGAAAAATGATATAGATTATTGATATTTTTCTAATATTTATTTGCATTTTTTATTAATTATGTTACTTGTAATTGAATCATAGCAATGATAAAATAAAAGTAAATTATTGCTAATAAAAAAAATAATTTAAAAACAGTTATTTTTAAGATTAATAAGTTTACTTCATCATCTGATAGAAAATTGTTCTTAATTTACATACAATAATTTTATGATATAATTTGTTAATTATTTATTCTAATTTTTACAAGAGATTTTTGACTAAGTTTGAATTATTAAATTTTTTCAATTCCTATCAATTGATAATGACAACTATTTTAATAACAATTAAAAGATCTTTATAATATTCAATTATGTAACGATTTAATAAAGTTAATTAAATTTATATATTTCCATGTCTGTAAATCCCAATAGTTGTCACCAAAAAATTCAATTATTGATCAACTATAAGCACAAAATTAACATATAAAAAAATTATTATATATAAAATTATAATTGATTTGAATAAAAATTTTAATTAGCATGATCAACAAAATTATAATAATTATAAAATATTTAATATTATGGATAATTATTAATTATGGGAATCAATTAATGATTATATTTTCTACTCATTTAGTTGGCTAAATTTTAAATTTGTTTAACATTGTTTTACTTCATATTTTAGCAATATAAAAGGTTCATTATTTATAAAGCTACAATGTTTACAATATCTTTAAATTCAAATTAACAACTTTAATTTGTTATGAAATTCATAAACTAAGCTGCAGGGTGGTTATTAATCACTAATATTATCTTATAATTAATAATTAACATAAACTAATTTTATAAAAGACAGAATTTATAGTGAATTCAAGCATTATTGATTAAAAGCTCTACTAAAATAACAGCAGCAAATAAGGTGGGATAATTAATACGACTTAAAATATTATTTTAAACATCATCAAAATGAAAAGTATAGATATAAAGCAACTGGAAGTAAAGTATTAAAATTTGAATTTATCAAAAAAATATATTAACATATTACAGTTATTAATTATAATTGATTATGAATATAATTAAGATTGAAAATTTTAAATGAATTGAAAGTTCTCAAATTGTTTTATATTATTCATTATTACTTATACTTGCAGATTATTTTTTAAATATTAATATATCAATAATTTTAGAACTATTTACTATATTAAAATTTCTCTATAGAGTAGTTAAAATAATAACAACATCCAAATAAATTAAATGTATATTTCAATAAATAATCTCAAAATAAATATATTGTTATCATATATCAATAATTTTGTAAATATAATAATAAAGATTTTTATAATTCTGGAAAGACCTTAATTTTTTGTTGTAAGTTGTTATATCACAAAATATTTAGTATTTATTCTATATATTCTAAATTTTTGTTTTAAAATTTGTCCTCTTAACAAGGATAATACAATATAAATAATTTAGCCAATCCTCATGATTTGAATTAACATATAAAACTATTTAATGTGATTCCAAGAGATATTACTTGAATATTATTTAGGAATATAGGCTATTTTATAAATCTAGACTTTCAAGTGAAATTTGTTTAAAGATATATTTATATTTGATACATATTTTAAAGAAATAGATCACTTTTGTTTTAGGAATTGAATAAACTTTACTATTTAATAGATAATGATTTTTATAAAATGAATGAATTGAAACATTATCAGAGCTATAAGAAATATGATGGTAAAGCTATAATAGGGGAATATATTTATATTAATTTAATGAATCAATATTAAAATTTATATAAATAACATGGGGTGTGTTAATTCTCGTAGTGTTGAGACTTACCAAAGAAAATTCAAACTAGTTATTGTAGGGTTGGAAGGAAGTGGGAAAACAGCAATATTTGAATACATCAGATAAGGAAAATTTGTGCAAACAAAACCAACAGTTGGTTAGGAATTATAATTATGAATAGGTGTGAATGTAGATTTTAGCCATCCTGAATTTATGATTTTTGATGTAGGAGGTAAAGTACCAAGTTTATGGAGTAACTATTACGAAAACACTGATGGACTAATTTTTATTATAGATTCTTCAAATAAAGAGTAGTTATATTAGGTCAAAGAGCAATTTGTTAAATTAAATAAAGATTTAGAATACATGAATGTATTTCTAATTAAATGAAATAGGTAGTAATTCTCATTATGTTTACAAAACAAGACAATATACATCTTGATAATCAAGTTTTGATTTAAGAATGTGGAGTATTTGGATATTTAGAATAAGATACGATATTCTAAATGTGCAGTGCTAAAACTGGTGAGGGTGTTTAAGAAGGAATTTAAAAATTAATAAACTTAATCAAAAAATAATAAAAACCGAACATTCCACTACATCCTATAAAAAAACATTAAAAAAAAATAGCAGTATGATAGTTAATTCAAAAATATAAATCTAAATCTATTTTACACAATTTTTCATATGGTAAAGATTATATTTACTATAACTGTTATTTCTTTTACATTATTTTTTAATTATTGTTTTAGCTCCCATTTGAATTAATTTTACTATTTTTCATTTAATGTCTCTCACACATATAATTACTCAAACTTTCGACATAAGGAGGATCGATTGTCCATATTCCATTTTAAACCCAATTATTTGTTAGATTTTTAATAACTTAGAAGCCCTTTCCTAAATTATTATCAAATAATCCACGTAGACAAGCATAAGTACAATATATAATTGAAATATTATTAGAATATGAACNTTACTTGAATATTATTTAGGAATATAGGCTATTTTATAAATCTAGACTTTCAAGTGAAATTTGTTTAAAGATATATTTATATTTGATACATATTTTAAAGAAATAGATCACTTTTGTTTTAGGAATTGAATAAACTTTACTATTTAATAGATAATGATTTTTATAAAATGAATGAATTGAAACATTATCAGAGCTATAAGAAATATGATGGTAAAGCTATAATAGGGGAATATATTTATATTAATTTAATGAATCAATATTAAAATTTATATAAATAACATGGGGTGTGTTAATTCTCGTAGTGTTGAGACTTACCAAAGAAAATTCAAACTAGTTATTGTAGGGTTGGAAGGAAGTGGGAAAACAGCAATATTTGAATACATCAGATAAGGAAAATTTGTGCAAACAAAACCAACAGTTGGTTAGGAATTATAATTATGAATAGGTGTGAATGTAGATTTTAGCCATCCTGAATTTATGATTTTTGATGTAGGAGGTAAAGTACCAAGTTTATGGAGTAACTATTACGAAAACACTGATGGACTAATTTTTATTATAGATTCTTCAAATAAAGAGTAGTTATATTAGGTCAAAGAGCAATTTGTTAAATTAAATAAAGATTTAGAATACATGAATGTATTTCTAATTAAATGAAATAGGTAGTAATTCTCATTATGTTTACAAAACAAGACAATATACATCTTGATAATCAAGTTTTGATTTAAGAATGTGGAGTATTTGGATATTTAGAATAAGATACGATATTCTAAATGTGCAGTGCTAAAACTGGTGAGGGTGTTTAAGAAGGAATTTAAAAATTAATAAACTTAATCAAAAAATAATAAAAACCGAACATTCCACTACATCCTATAAAAAAACATTAAAAAAAAATAGCAGTATGATAGTTAATTCAAAAATATAAATCTAAATCTATTTTACACAATTTTTCATATGGTAAAGATTATATTTACTATAACTGTTATTTCTTTTACATTATTTTTTAATTATTGTTTTAGCTCCCATTTGAATTAATTTTACTATTTTTCATTTAATGTCTCTCACACATATAATTACTCAAACTTTCGACATAAGGAGGATCGATTGTCCATATTCCATTTTAAACCCAATTATTTGTTAGATTTTTAATAACTTAGAAGCCCTTTCCTAAATTATTATCAAATAATCCACGTAGACAAGCATAAGTACAATATATAATTGAAATATTATTAGAATATGAACTGAGTACTCGTACAATCTAATACTCCTTTCGATTCAAATAATTACATTTTTAAATAAATGGTTTAAAATGACATTACATAAGAATTGTGCCATTTGTACCACACCAAAATAATTGTTTATTTAGTACACAAGAACATTTCATTCCTGCCATTACTTAATCACCATACATTTATGATTACTTAGGTTTTTTAATATTCTCAAAATCACCAGTTCCTAATTATCCATACTCATTACATCCCCAAACAAATACTTTTTTCAAAGAACTTAAAGCTATAACATGCTTATATCCGCATTCAACCTATATAATTTTTTCATTAATAGGCAATCTTTCAACTTGATCTCTTGATTTGTTATCACCTAATCCTAATTAACCTTTCTCATTTTATCCATAAGAATATAATCCACCATTTTCACTTAATAATATAGTAAATGAACTTCCACATGACAATGAAATTATTTTTACATTCATTTATATACATTTTAATTAATCATAAACTTTACCTTCTGATATATATAAAATTCTATTTCTATAAGCCTTTATAAATTCTGCATTCTCGTGTAATAATTTAGGATGCTAAATATATTTATGTTAAAGACAACCCCAAATAAATAACTTATTATCATTTTGTTAAACTAAACAATGATTTTATCCCATTGATATATTTTTCATTTTTCCCATAAAATTCAATTAGGTTGGGTAATGTTTCTCTCCATCTTATGTAAATCCTAATTAACTCATATCATTTAAACCCCAACCATACAATTTATTACAACATGCCCCAATTGTTGTATTTTCACCAACCTAAATAAATTGCAAAGGATTTTCCTTTTCGAAACTTTAGATAAATATATCCTTGTAATTCGATGCAAATGTTCCATTATAACTATCTGAAGTATCTGAGATTATTTCCAAATCAATAATAAAAGCAAATAAATATATTTTTGGCTATATTAATGATTCCATCCCTTAAATTAATGCTGAATCATAATCTGTTTTTTAACCTATTTTTAATCCAAATAAATCAGTTTCTTCCTATAATTTCTATTATTGTAATTATTGTTCTAATGGTGAAATATATTGATCATATTATTATTTTAATTCTCTTCTTCTCGGTAATATCATTCTAAATCTTCTTTAAATTATAACAGCAGCCTATCTCATTCTCTAAAATACACAACTTAAATGCTTCATTCTGAAATAACCTTAAATCAAATAAGCCGCTTCATGCATTTTACTTAATCTTACTCTTATAATATATCCTCTAGCCCATCTCTAAATTGTTTTGATTCTTTTTTCCATTCTTATTTTTCTTCCTACTTCCTTGATTTATTAAATTTCTTTTTTGTGACTTTTTCTAGTATAATAGCCTCGATAATATTTTTATATTGTTATGGCAGCTTTAATTCTAATTTACTCCCAAGAATTATCAATAATAATATTCAAAACTCTTCTAATATTTAAGTATTACATAATTCTCTTTTATATTCTACTTATTCTGAAATTTTTCTATATTTTTCTTATACATTCTACTTTTTTTTGAAATTGCTTTTATTATATTTTACTTAAAATTGCATATTTTAAATAATCAATTTGTTTTCTAAATAACTTTTATTTTTTTCTAACTTAGTACATAAAATAAAATTTTTGAATTAGAGTAGCAGCTTTCATCTTTTTTCTAAATTAAATTTTTCTTAATTTTCTTTTAATCTTTTTTGCAACCCTTTTGATCATTCTCATAAATTTTTTAAATTTATCTCTCATTTAACATCTTCTAAAAGCAGCTTAAATACATCTAGCTTTTTCATTCTTCTCTTTCATTAATGAAGTGTAAATCTTATCAATTTGAGTCATTCCTACTTCTTAAATAAAGATTTAAGTATTTCCAAATAAGTATAAATCCTTAGACAATTCACTAAATTATTCTTAAAACATTTTTTAATCCAAAGCTTTATAATCTTTATTTAATGGATCCTAAAATCCACCCTCTTAAATAAATCTATATTTTAAATAAAATCTCCAAAAATCGACTCTAATTGGAAATGATTCTTTTCTTACTTTTAATGAATCTAAAACACCTAAATATCTAATTTATTTCATAGCATATTTATTATCTAATTTATTTGGAATCAATTCATCATTTGGTTTTATACAACGAATAAAATGAACACCACATGATTACAATTCTGTCATTAAACTTTTCATTTCATTTTTTATTTTTACAACAATTGATTTTGGCTTTGGTTGTAATTAGACCATCTAACTATTGCATTTTGCTTCTAATAATAATTAAGGAATTTCATCTTGATTTTTTTCTACAAAATCTTAGCATGTATATTCTACATCTTTGGCAGTATGTTTTATAGTAAATGTAGGTTTTTATGAATTTGCAAATTTGAGTTCTTTTCTAAAAGATTGTAATAATTATTAATCAGTTTAATTTAATCTACAAGCTTAATCAATAAGATTAAATAAACAAACAGGAGGTTTATCAAACATATCAATTAATTAAGTATTATCTTCAAATTTAATACTATCTACGAATTTTTCTAAACCTTCTCTAACAAATATTTTCTTCTCTTCTTTAAATACATATTCAATATATAATTAATGAAGTCTCTCATTTGAATAATTTATCATCATTTATTCAAATCCATTAAAATTATCAAAAACTTCAAATCCATATATATCCAATAATCCAATATATGTTGTTTTATCTTGTTTAGTAATCAAAGTTTAATTAAGTTTTTCAATAATCCAATTAAATAATCTTTCATAAATTTCCTTAGCCCAAGAATCTCTTATTCTTAAACAATCAATTAATTTAATTGGTGATAATATCTTTTCTTTTCCATATATAGCTTACTTTAAGGTTAAAGCTTTAAGAATATCATTGTAATCATAATCCAATAATTAGCATATTTATTTTAAAAGATCTTCATTTTTAACATTACAAGGATTAGTATTACCATAATTAGTATCATCAAATTATAATTCTCCAATTAATAAAACAGAATAAACAACTTAAAAAACAGCATCAGCATCAATATTAACTGTAGAGAATCCTTATATCAATTCATCATAAAATTTCTAACTGAAATAATTATCTGTGCCCAAATAATTAAAATTTTATCTTTAATATTTTGGATTTCCAAATAATAGATAAAATATATGAAAATTCCTATCTGTTTTAGAATGTGAAACAACTCTACTCTTTTCCAATAAATAATTTACAATATCACCACCTATAATTTATTATTTTTGATTAACAAAAAGCCTTGTATATTTTCCAAATCTACTGGAATTCTTGTTTCTAATAGTTTTTGCATTACCAAATGCTTCTAAAATTGGATTACATCCCATAATCTTATCAGATAATTCAGTTTCTTCAGAATTAACACTTGTTAATAGATTAAGACAATATCTTGCATTTTCTGTTTTGCCAGCTCCACTTTCTCCAGATATAACAATCGCTTAGGTTTTTTCAGCTAATTTGGTAAAAGCATATGCAGCAATTGCATAAGTATGAGGTGCTATAGATTTATAGTTATGACGTTTTCTAATAATATATTCTACATATTCTTAAAGATTTGCATTTAGACTTTTAAATGGATTAATTACAATCAGAGTTGGTCCAACATATGTAAATATTTAATCTTTTTTATATCTCTCACTTAAGTTATATAAAAGTTATGGATCATTAATTATAGCCAGATTGACCATGTCAGCTTAAACATCCTCACATCTTTCCCACACTTGTCCATTCAATTTCTAACCATTTTCTTCACTTATATAGTTGTTTCCATCTGCAATTATACCTTTTATAAAATTATCACTCTCTAAAACCCAAACTTTATTACTAAACATTCTAGAATAATAGTGATGTGTTAATTATTTTAATGAACAAAGTTATCTATCTTCTTTCACTATTGTTGGCTACTTCTTATGCACTTTATGATTCACGTTCTAAAGTTTAACTCCTTACACCTTAAACCTTCAAAGAGAAAGTGTTAAACTCTAAATCTCTTTGGATAGTAGAATTCTTTGCTCCATGGTGTGGTCATTGTAAAGCACTTGCCCCAGAATATGAAAAAGCAGCAAAGACACTAGAAGGAATTGTAAATATTGCTGCAGTGGATGCAGATGCTCACAAAGACCTTGGAGGATAGTATGGTATTTAAGGATTCCCTACAATTAAATTCTTTGGAGATAACAAAAGTTCACCATCAGATTATCAAGGAGAAAGATCAGCATAAGCTATAATTAACTTTGCCTTAGAATAAGTCAAATCGGTATATATCTTTTCTAATTATTTTAGACAGTGAATGGTAGGTAAAAAGGTTCATCTTCAAATAGAAATTAATAAAAATAATCATCTGGCTCTAACTCTGGATCTGGTTCTGGATCAGCTGATGATGTTATTGTTCTTACAGATTCAACTTTTGATGAAAATGTTTTAAAATCTAAAGATTCATGGTTTGTTGAATTTTATGCTCCTTGGTGTGGTCACTGTAAAAAACTTGAACCAGAATGGAATAAAGTAGGATCAGAACTTAAGGGAAAAGTAAAAGTTGCTAAAATAGATGCCACTGCAAATACTTAATTAGCATCTCGTTTCGGAGTTTCAGGATATCCAACATTGAAATTCTTCCCTGCAGGTTTTTCTAATGATTCAGATGCAATTCCTTATGATGGAGCTAGAGATTCTTCTGCAATGATAGAGTTTGCTTTGGAATAATCAAATAAGTCAAAGAAGGTAGAAGTAGTAGAATTACTATCAAAAGATGTTTTAACAGAAAATTGCATTGATTATAATGGTATTATTATATTATTATTATTAAATAGGTGTATGCATAATTGCTTTTCTTCCTCATATTTATGATAGTAATAAATAAGAAAGAAATTAATATATCAATTAATTATTAGATGTGGCAAAATCTCTCAAAAACAAACCAGTTAATTTCTTATGGACTTAAGGAGGAGATAATTATGAATTTGAAGAAGCATTTTAATGTGCTGCTGCTCATCCTTCTGTTATGGCTTTGAGTGGAAGAAAATCTGTTTATGCTAAACTTAAAGGTGCTTTTAGCAAATAAAATATAGAATAGTAATTAAAAATATATAAAATTTAGATTTGTTAATAATGTATTAAATGGAAGAGAGCATTTCAATCAATATTCTAGACTTCCTAATTTTAAAAAAGTTGAGAAATGGGATGGATAGGACCATAAACCAGTTTATAATGATGAATTCTGATTATTATGTAATTGAATAATTTATAGTAATCTTTATTTTAAAATTATTAATTTTTTGATATTTTTGAATTGTAATAGTATTATTTTATTAGATTATTAAAGAAATAAAATAAATAATTATATAATTTATAATGCAGCAAGAGGAAGAGTAATATTCATGTTTAGAAGAATTCTTTATTGATAGTTGCAGATTTGGGTAAGTATTTATTCATTTTTAGAGATTATGAAGATGCAATTGGTTGTTTTGAAGATAATGTTGATTTATTTTGGATTGACATTAATTAAAATAATTGCATTCGTATATTTGATAAAATTTATTTTAGATATGGTATCAGCTAATGGTCATTTATCTATTCTTGAATAAATAATCTAGTATTCTAAAAAAATAAATATTGATTTGTATAAATTAATAAATCATTAAAATCAATATGGTTGTACTCCTCTACGTAAATATATCAATTTTACATAGATTGGGCTGTATTCAATAATTAATTAACAATTATTCCAGTATTATTATAGAATGGAGCAGATATTAAAATAAAAAACTTAAATGGATTAACATGTATTGAAGAAGCTATATAACTAGATAAAACAGAAGTTATAGTAAGTCATTCTATTATTCTTAGGAATTATTATCAAAAAATATATCTTTAACAGAAGATTAATAATAAGCCTTTAATGAAACGACTGATATAATAGAATAGGAAGATGAAGATTAGGTTGAATGATTTGTTTATATTAGTTAATAATAGAAATTTGAAACTAATTATAAAATTGTATTTATTTCATTATCTTTCTTAATGTTCTTCACTTCAAAGACATTTATGTTAACACTAATTTTTTTATGCTATAATAATTCAGATAGCAGCTATAATTTTTAATTATTAAATAATCAAAAATTAACAATGAGCGTTAAAAAACAATCATATGTAGGAAGTACTACAGATAATTCAGAAGCAATGTTTTAAGCAAATTTCACATAGAGAAACATAAGTCTAAATTAAAATTACCCATTACCTCTTTAAAATCAATAATTTGTTCAATAATAAACATTTCAAAACTAAAGAATTTCATTTGGTTAAGGAGAGATTTGTTAACCATAACAAACAATTTAAAAATAAAGATCTGAGTACAACTTTCAACCTTAATATCCAGTGACTGATTTAAATAATACATTTACAATGTTGCCAAAAGTATTTGAAATGGATTAAGACTTTTTACCTTAGGAAATACTATTTCTTTTATCAGAAGAAAATAATCATTTGGATAAATTAAGAAAAAAAGTAGATAGAGAAAAAGAAAAGATAAAAAAAGATATATGTTTTATTAAGAGTGAGATTTCAAATATGATTGAAGATTTAGGTGTTTAGATGTAATAATTTGTAGATGAACATTATAAACGATATTTGAATGTTTATGCTGCTTTTAAAGATGAAGTTATTTAATTTAAGAAAACAAAATTAGAAGCACCACTAAATTTAGTACCTCCACCACCATCAAATAATTTTGGAGATTGTTCTAATGCTAATCTAATTAGAGAGTTAGAAGAAATGAAATATTAAAATTATGTTAGTAAAGTTAATGCATACATAAGCAATTTGGCTAAATAAAGAGTTGAATAAATATAAATAATATCAAAGGAATTATTATAATTGACAAGTCAAAATAGTGAATTCTATCATTCTGAAGCTACTTTGAGACAATTAAATATTATAAAATAAGAAGTAGAAGAAAAATTAATAACAAAGTTTGGTGACATGACAGATTACATTTTACCTTTAGATTTTATGGAAAAAAATTAATAGAAATAAATAAATTAAGAAATAAAATGTAAACTTAATCTAGAAACATAATCACTTCCATAATCAGCCATTAAAATAAATCCTTATTTAAATATCCAAGAACCAAAAATAACTTTAAATTTTGAGAATTAAATCAATTAATTTAATCAATCATAATAGACAATATAATAGTCTCCTATAATGTAATTATAAAATCATTTTATAAATACTCATACAATATAAGGAAAAATCACTGAATTATAAGAAATGTAATCATAAGATATTAGACATAATGGAATGATACTTTGTTTTACAAATATTAAAGACAATTTAATTGCTACTGGATCTAAAGATACTATTATTAATATTTGGGATAATTCTTCTCTTATATCTTAATTGAAAGGTCATACTGATGGAGTATGTACATTAACTGTAATTAAAGCTAATAATATACCTTTCTTTTTAGCATCTGGAAGTGATAATGGAGATAAATCAATTAAAATTTGGAATTTATCAACTTTAAAAGAACATAATACTTTAATAGAACATTAAGCAGCTGTAGTTGCATTATTATCATTAGATGATGGATCAACTCTTGTTAGTGGATCATATGATAAATCATTATTGATTTGGAATATTGAAAATTAGAAACCAATTTAAAGATTGATTGGTCATACAAATGCTGTAACTTGTTTAACATTAGCTAAAGGAAGATTCATTTCTGGAGGATTAGATTAAAATATTAATGTATGGAAAATAAATAAAAATTCTTAAGGACAATTTTAATCAGCATAATTGGAAAGATCTATTAAAAATTAAACTTTGGTTTGTGCTTTAAATGTTGTTTAAATTTAAAATAATGTATAAAATTTAATATTAATAATTTTTAGACTAAAATTATTAGTGGAGGAAAAGATGGTAAGATAAGAGAATTTGATATTAATACAGGTGAACTTTTGTAATCATAATAAGTAACTAATGGACCTATTGTAGAAATGATTGTTGCATAAGATTATGTAAATTATTCTATCATCTCTATGTCAAATAAAGTAATTATATTTAAATTATCCAATAGGATAGAAATTTAGTGATTACAACTTAAGGAGTAAATAAAGTCTTGGATACAAATGATTAAGTATTTATAGAATTTGGATGTGGAGTATATCCAAAAATGGAAGTTGTTGATAAATCAGGATAATTATAGTTAAATATAATCTCATAAAAATAGGATATTTAGAAGATATTTAAATATATCATTTGATTTGAAATATATATATATATATATGTATCAAAAAACTAATTATCTATTCAATTTTTTAGTTATTCTATTAATTAAATTATTTAACTATATATCTCTTCTATTGATTATTATTATTCATTTAAATCTTTTAAACATCTTTACTATTAAATGATTTATTAATCTGGATCAACTAATTCAAGTTATTTCTCTTATGCCTATCTTAATAATTAAATAAATTAAGTTTTATATTAAAATGGAATATTAATATAAACTGATCCATCATTTCTTATAAAACTTTTTGTATCATTATTATGTTATACACATATTTAACATTTTTATAAACATAACAGAACATTATTTATTATTTATTCTAAACTATCTAATTATTATATTCTTTATTCAAATTTCTTAGGATCAATCATATCTCCAAATTATTAATCTATAATTTATATTGCTAATTTTTATTTCATCTCTTATATTTTATTTGCATTATTTAATATTGTAATATAATCAAATTATTGTTTTTCATCTGATTATAATTAATATTTTTTATTTAGAATATTGTAACATATCCCATATGTTATTTATTATTAAGCAACAGTTTATTATGTCCATGGATTTTTCATTATTATCTATACTTCTTTGAATTTTGAATTTGTTGTTAATAATTCAAATTAATAAATATTAAACTTAATAGTTTTTATTAATATATAGATGAAATAAGCCTTATTAAAATTAAGAGACAATAAATTACTTGAAGCATTCTCCTACTTTGAATAGCATAAACCCTTTGAAGAAGCAGCTTAAATACTTATAAAATACTCCCTCACTTAAGAGTCAAATATTAAAGAATTGATATATAGATGGATTCTTCGTAATACTAATTCACCAAATATCAAATTGGATGTATATAACTTATTAGGTAATTCTTCTTTAACTCTAAGGTTGTACTTTGGTAAACAAAGATCAATAAATAGAGATCTTAAACGAAGCTCTAAAATTGACTGTTGCACATGAATTAAATCCATCTACAACACTAATTAATTTAACTTGCATCTATTCTAAACTCAAATAACATGAAAAAGCATTACAAATAGCATTACAATCAATTGAATGTTCAGTTGGTAAATAATTGGTAATTGCATATCATAATGCAGCTATTGAATACAAAGCATTATTATAGAATGAATAAAGCAGAATATTTCATGAAAAAGCTTATGAATAGAGTGTCTACCTTTTTGGACAATAAGATCCTCTTACTCAAAAGTTGAGTAAATATGTAGAAAAATTACCTCCAAAAATAGTGCCTGTTTAAAATAAATTTAGATTAAGAAGTGCCTCAAGACAAGGAGAGGATGCAAAATCTTTTTACTATAGAAGACCTATAACAATAATAGATTCACATACACAGTCATTAAATTAATCTATCAATTAATCAGATGATAGCAATTATAGATCAAGTAGTTAAATCAAAGGAAGAAGACAAAAAACTTTAAATTAATCTTTTTAAACATCAAGTAATGACATTAATGAAGAAGAAGGAAGTGTTGTTTCAAAGTAATTACAAAACGAAATTGAAGCATAAAGAAAAATCAGATTAAGATTTTTATAATCTATTCATTAATAAAACATCTAACTTTTAGAAAGAAAATTAAATAAAAGAAACAGTTATCATATAAATTTCTCTTAGGAATCAATTTTAAATGTTGAATGTTAAGATTAAAGATCGTAAGATTTTATTCATTTTGAAAATTAACAGCCTGATGGATAATATGATTCTATGATACCTTTAAATTAATAAGAAGATCTTACTTATGATGATTAAGAATTAATTATTAATTAAATTAGGGGGTTTGAGTCATAAAAAGAAATTACTACAGCATCCTTTGCTAATTAAGAAACATTTGAAAATACATTTGAATAAAAGAATAAATAGGGAAAAGCTATATCTAAGATATAAAAGTGGTATCGTAAAAAATAAAAGAATCACTCTGTTAAGTATTATTCAAACAACTCTTAGATTAAAATATAAGCAGCAATCAAAATATAGAGATTTTATAGAAAAATAACTTAATAAAGATTGATGCAGTTAATGAAAAATAAAAAATATGTAAAATACTTAAAAATATCAAAATTATCAATTGAAAATGAATATGAATATTGTTTAATAATTGCTAAGAAATTTGAGAATGAAATCTTATATATTATTAATGAAATGAAGAATAAAAGATAGAGAAAAAAAGCAAAAATATATAGATAAACCTTTGAATTGGAAATTCTAAATTAAAAGTATCGTGCATTTGATGAATTTTGTTTAACAATCAATATGTCAAAAAGAATGAATTAAATAGCTTATAAATAAGCTTAATAAATAAATTATAAGGAAATTTGCAATTTATTTTATGTTCTTAATAATTAACTTAATTTATATGGAGTAACAGATACTTTATTAAATGAATTAATTGATTCAGATATTGATGACAAAGTTTCAGTATCTTCCCGTAGATAACCAATAAAATTAACAAAATTAATGAAATTATAATCTTTGTTAAGAGGATATTTGGCTAGAAAAAAGTAAGAATTAATTAAAAATCAGAAATATAAACATAAGAGATTTATAGAAAAGATATAAGGAGGATATTTTATATTGATTTTTTAATAAGAAAATGTGATTTAATTCTATAATCTTTAATAAAAGTAATTATGTGAGAATGAGATGATAATTCCTGATTCAGTAATTAAATTTTTTGGTCCAATTAATAGATAAAATTGTAGTGAGATATTTTATGCATAAAATAATAAGATATTTTTTACAGATGATGCTCAATATATTATTGATAAAGATATTCGATCAAAAGAAAAGATGGATTTTTCAGTAGTAGAAAAAGCTGCAAAGAAAATTTAAAGAGTATTTAGATCAAAGATAAAATTCTTTGATTCTTCTATACTCAAATATAAAACTATTACTTTAAAAGCAAAATAATCTTAATTATTGTTTAAAATAAGAAAATCTATTTTGTTTGAATAAAAATATCATATAATATTAACTGCATATGGTTAAATTTATTAAGAACATTAAGAATTACTTATTGAAGGAGGTATTATTTAAAAAAAGTATTCCAATCTTAAAATTGCTTAATGTTGTTAGAGATTATTTTAAGATATATCTATTTCAGATTTTAATCAAGTAAGTAAAATAGTTTTAGATGAAATTGATTTTGAATGGAAAAATGATAAACTTCATTTAAAATGTCATAGTTTAGAAGAAGTTTATGGATTTTTGATGGAGAGGTAATTAATAAAATTTTAATTTTATAGAAATTATTCTTCATTTAAAGAAAGTTTAAAAGATGTTGCTAATAAAGAACCTACATTTTTGGGTAGAAATTACTTGAGCAGAAAAATATATTGTTAATAATATTTAAAAAATAGATTTGAAATTGAAGATCGACCAACAATATTTTGTAGAGTGGAAGATCCTTCTATTTATCAAATTACATATATAAAAAATCTTTATTTAGAAAGATTAAAGAAGAAATATTAGTAAAAGAAAAAGGAAAAATAAGTTGGAGATAATATTAATCATTATGTTAATTAATTTCCATCTATTTATAAATATGAATGGATTCAAGATCCTGATGAATTATATATGGACATGCTTAATAAAAAGGCGAAATTAGTATAAAGAGGTAATACTGTATATTATTAATAGCATTTAGATTATTAAAATTTAGAGCTATTATACATTAAAAATGTTTAATTAGAAGAAGAAGAAGATTAGCATTACTTTAATCACAAAAAGTTGTAGTCAAACCATATTATTTTGATGAGATTAGGAAACCTTAAGCTTATACAACAATTGAAATTATATAAAGAAGAGGAGAAACTCCTATCTTTTTAAAATCTATTTATATTGATTCAGTACTATATGAATGGATATTAATACTACCTTATTATGATATTATTGTGACAGTATATACTATTCCAAGATAATTTTATTAAATAAAATACAACGAATATAAAAATCATTATATGGATATAATTTTATCAGAATCAGTTGAAAAAATACAATAGTATTTTAGTTAACCTATAGAAAAGTTTCATCCATCAGAAAAAATAGATTTTATTACAGAATTAAGAGAATAATTTAGTAAGAAAGTAATAAGAATTGTAAGATTAAAATTATTCCTTAAAAAAATCAAAGAAACACCTTAAACTAAGAAATTTTTAATAAGAACTTTTGTAAATGAATTTTTTGTTTAAATAAATTACTTTTACAATAAAGTTGATTAAAAGATTATTATATTATTATAAAAAGAGAAACGCAAAAGAAAATATACCTTAGATTTGCATTACTTAGATTGTTTATTTGGAAATTAACATGGATTAAGCTATTTAGATAAAGAGTTATTTATTAAACTCTTAACTTTAAATGAACCAAAAAGTTATCATAAATATAGAATGTTATTAATGCCAATGATTAATGTTCTTCATCTTTACATTATGATTAATGCAGAATTAGATTTACAATATTAATATAAGAATTTTGAAATGACTTTAACAGAAGAAATTAATGAAAAATTTTATACATCCTCTTAAGGATTTTACATGATAACAAATGAGTCTGACTCAAAATTATTACCAACTATTATATCTTTGTAAGCAAGATGGAGATTAAGTCAATAATAAAAAAAATATTAATTGATGCTTTTTAGATGTACAAGAATGAAAATAAAAATGATGAATAAGAAAGGAAAAGAAGTTTAGAAAACATTTTTAAAGAGAAAAGATATAAGTGATGATAAAGATAGTGATATTATTTATATATGTAGTATTTATGAATCAAAAGATAATTAAGGAGTAAGAGTAAGAGTAGAATTAATATCTTATAAAAGTAAGTAAGAATAAGAATTATTTAATTGTTTCACAATAGACCCTCAATCAATATTATTAAATGAATAAATAAGTTAATATGTATTAAAGAATCTATATATAGAAGATAATATATTACTATTGAGATA